ATTCAAGTCAAGTCAAATTTATTTGTATAGCGCTTTTTATGACTGGGGCGTGGGCAACTGGTCTGAAGCGGGTAGCAGGAGAGCTCGACAGCCAATCATCCATCAGTGTCCGGCTGGACAGGTGGGTAGTCGTTTACTCGGAAAAACGTAGGGAGATTGAATTAGTTTTGTTCTGTTTGGGTGTATGTAAAACAGAGAATGTGAACATTTCCAGAGTGTGGCTAATGACTCCGGCAGATCTGACTATAACAGCTTAACTAAAAGGAGAGAACCAAAAGGACACACAGACACGGGAAACAATTTGGCACAGACACCCTGAAACAATTTGGCATCCCTCCACTCCACCGTCCACAAACCTGAGTGATCGTGTGCGACCAGCGTCTCAGTTTACTATAATTCCCTGTGTCCATGGACCCCTGTATCTGCTGCCTTTATCTAAGGGGGAACATTAATTACCAAAAGCTAAACCGAACAAGTGAGTTTTCAGCCTAGATTTGAAGATTGCGACTGAGTCTGAGTCCCGAACATTTTCTGGAAGATCATTCCAGAGTTTGGGGGCTTTATAGGAAAAGGCTCTTCCCCCAGCTGAAACCTTCTGAATTCTGGGAACTATTAAAAAGCCAGCACTCTGTGATCTGAGTAATCATGGTGGCTCGTAATGGGAAATAAGGTCTTGCAGGTACTCAGGAGCAAGCCCATGTAGGGCTTTATATGTCAATTAAAGAATTTTGTAATCAATATGGAATTTAACAGGCAGCCAATGAAGTGACGATAGAACTGGACTGATATGATCAAATTTTTAGTTTTAGTGAGGACCCTGGCTGCAGCATTTTGAACTAGTTGAAGTTTACTTAAATTCCTGCTGGTGCATCCTGACAGTAGTGCGTTACAATAGTCTAGCCTTGAAGTAATAAAGGCATGTACTAATGTTTCTGCATCATGCAGGGATAAGGCATTTTTTATTTTGTCAATGTTACGAAGATGTAAAAAAGCTGTCCTAGTGATAATGCCTATGTGTTGATCGAGTGACAAATCGAGTGACAGATCGAGTGATTTTTTGCTGCTGAACCAGGTATAACTGGAAAGTCAACGAGTTTTAAAATTGAATCTGATAATTTATTTCTTGCCACTTTTGGGCCCAGAAGGAGAACCTCTGTTTGGTTGGTCTGTTTAGAAGGCGGAAGTTACGCAACATCCAGGCTTTCACGTCTTTTACACAGTCCTTTCTTTAACCTATATTTGTCATCAGGCTTGGCTGATATGTACAATTGCGTATCATCTGCGTAACAGTGAAAGTTAATGCCATGGTTTCTTATAACTGTGCCTAACGGTAACATGTATAATGTAAATAATAATGGTCCTAAAATAGAGCCTTGTGGAATTCCAAATCTTACTTTTGAATAATTGGAAGATAAATCATTTACCTTTACGAACTGATAACGTTCCGTTAAGTAAGATTTGAACCACGATAGGGCTGTCCCTGTGATTCCAACCATGTTTTCTAACCTTTCTAGGAGAATATTGTGGTCTATCGTATCGAAAGCTGCTCTGAGGTCAAGTAGCACCAACAGGGATATGTAGCCTTGATCAGAGGCAAGAAGAAAATCATTTGTTATCTTAAATAGAGCTGTCTCAGTGCTGTGATGTGGCCTGAATCCAGATTGGAATTTTTTATATATGTGGTTCTTATGTAGATATGAACTAAGTTGTTGGGCTACAGCTTTTTCTAAGATCTTAGATATAAACGATAGGTTAGAAATAGGCCTGTAATTAGACAATACGCTAGCATCAAGGTTTGGTTTCTTGATCAGAGGTTTAATAACTGCTAGTTTAAAAGCTTTGTTTACAAGGCCCAGGCTAAGGGACGAGTTTACTATAGTTAAAAGAGGATTAATGATTACTGGTAGTACTTCTTTGAGTAATTTTGAGGGAATTGCATCAAGTGTGCAGGTTGTACAATTTGCAGAGGAGACAATCTTCTCTAGTTCTAGCTGTGGGAGTCGGTAGAAAGTTTACAGCCTTTCTTCTGCAACTACGTTATGTTTTATATCAGCCACATCAGATGACAGCCAAGTTGGATCTAATACTGTGGGTTGAATTTGTTGTCTAATATTTTCGATTTTATTATTTAAAAAGTCCATAAAAACTTCACTGGTGAGAGTCGCTGGAATTTGTGGTTCAGTACCTGCTTGATTTATTGTAATTCTGGAAATCACACTAAACAGAACTCTAGGATTATATTTATTATTCTCGATCAGTGAGGCCAGATATACTGAGCGAGCTTTAGTGAGAGCATTTCTATGCTCTATAAGGCTGTCCTTCCAGGCAAAGTGGAACACTTCCAGCTTGGTTGATCGCCATTTCCACTCTAGTTTCCGTACTGTTTGTTTTAAGGTATGGGGTTTATCATTGTACCATGGGGCAAGCTTTTTCTGTCTTATCCTTTTTATTTTAAGTGGCGCCACATTTTCTAAAGTAGATCGAAAGGTATTTTCTAAATAGTCGGTTAGTACATCTAGCTCCATTGGGTCTGAAGGAGTGGAGACTAGGGTTGTTAGTTCTGGGAGGTTTTCTATGAATAAGTTCAATTCTATGAATGAACTTACCGCTTTTGGTTGATTTAGGAACTTAGCAGGACGATAGCAGGATGATAGCACTGGAGCGGTGGGTCGGCAGTCTGTGCGTCTGTTGCGTATGGAGGAGGGTCTGTTGCATCTGGAGGAGCTCAAGTCACCTTCTTATCACCTTTTTGTTGTTCAACCACTCCTGTGTTGCTTTGGCTTTGTGCTTGGAATCAGTGTCCTGCAGAAAGGTGAAGTTTCTCCTAAGCTTTAGTTTTTTAGAAGACTGAAACAGGTTGTCTTGGAGTATCTCCCTGTATTTTGTACCATCAACCCGTCCCTCAGTTTTAACAAAATGCCCACTGAGGAAAAACATCCCCATAACATGATGCTGCCACCCCCATACTTCTCTGTTGGGATGGTGTTTGTTGAGGAATGAGCTCCATTTTCATGTCATCTGACCACAAAACCTTATCCCACATTTTAGCTGGGTCTAGGCATGCTTTGATGTGTTGTTTCTTCAGTAATGGTTTCCTTCTAGCTTCTCTCCCACACAGGCCAGTTGTATGCTGAGGTCTTGATATTGCTGACTGGTGCGCCTTCATTCAAGACTAGAGTAAAGTGATTGTTGTTGTCTCAGGCTTCCCTGAGCTCCCTCTTGCTCTGATGCTAAGTTTTGAGGGATGGCTTTGTCTAGGCAGTTTCTGGGTGGTATGATGCAGCTTCCATTTTCTCACAATTGACCCAACAGTGCTCACTGGGATATCCAAACACTTGGATATTATTTTGTAGCCATTTCCTATATTGTGCATGTCTATTATTTTATCTCTAATTTACTTTGAATTTTTCTTTAATCTTAATTTTAATAGCTTCAGATTCAGATTTGCCTTCAGATTCAATGTCTGATCAATGGTACTTGAATTAAGGGGATCTTAAATTCCAAAAAGATTGTAAACCAAATGTATCCCCATTAGGGCAATATCTTTCATCTCCATAAAAAAAGGAGCTTCCACAGCACAAGGTTTGAATACTTATGCAAACAGCATTTTTCAACTAGTAATTTTCATCATGGAATAATTTCCTTATAAAACCAATATTACTTCAAATTAATTCATTTTGAAGGTAATATGTCACAGCACAAAATATCAAAAAGCCATCTGTAATCCACACAAATTAGATGAGGTTAAATAAATTTGCAAGGCACTGTATGTACAGTCAGTAAAACAGAGTGAACTGGATAATTTATGCTGCGTTAGACCTGAGCACAGATGCATTACATCAATAATAAATCTGACATGTTAACCGCTAACGTGGATTGTGAATGGTATAGATGATGCAAAGGCCTCCTCTCAACAAGATTAACTAAAATGTTTGTCAATCAAAGTTTTTTTTTTATGGACCAAATGTGGGAATAAGTCAATTTAATTCCAGCTGCATTATTAAGTAATGTAGTTTATTAATTGCATATCCTTTTTTAAAACCCACCAAAATAATGACAACCCAGCCCACATTTTTGTCCGCCTGCTACAGCAGAAAATCCTATCTGGCAACACTGTGAGTGAGTGAGAGAAAGAAAGATAATAAACTGTCTCCTGAACAGCTGGAAGAAACGGACTGAATTTTCTTTCTCCTTCTCTTTTTCTTTCTTATTATAGTTATTATAGTTGTTATTATATTAATACCTTGATCCATCAAAACACCCACAGAAACACTCATCTGGAACTGTTAACTACTAAATTACAAGCCATATTAGGTGAGCCAAGTGGTCATATTAGGTGATTAGCTATCTTGGTTCGTAGCTGTTTACTTAGTAGTTAACACTGGTTTTACTGACATGAAATGATACCCTGCACTGTTGTATGCATGTACAAACTCCAGCAATTTTTTTTTCTTGAGAGTGAAGCTAACATATATGCTAAAACTGTTAGAATTAGCCACATAGCCAACAAATAACCATGTTTGAGCACAAGTTAGAATTTTGAACCTGAACAAAGCTGAATTTTTCTTGAGAACAAAATTTAAGCAGAAATGTATTCTAGCTAATTAATGAATAGAATTAGCCACATATGTATAAAATTAGAAATATATAACTACCAATATATGGCTAACAAATAATACTCACCTTTAAAACATGTTGGAGCACTAAGTTGGACTTTTTTGGGTGGTGGGGCATTATTGTTATTATTATTATTATTATTATTATTATTATTATTATTTAAACATCATGATTGTTTGGACAGGCTTATTTGTATAACAGCATTCTCACATATCAGTATTGTAAAGGCCAATATCATAATATTGATTCACAAGCGATATAGTATACAGCCCATGTGTGATGTTTAGAGAGCAACATTAACCATACTTTAAGTCTATTGATCTTTGTAAAGTCTTCATATAATGGTATATCAATTGTATTTTGTGTGCCTTTCTTTCCATTAGACTTACATCGGCACCCTCCTCGTCTCCATTAACCCCTATAAGGAGTTGGACATATACAGCAAAAAGCAAATGGACATATACATGGGAGTCAATTTTTTCGAGTTGCCACCGCACATGTAAGTATGGTTTCATGCAAATAAACTTTTGTTATCATTGCTCTTATTCAGATTCTCTAAAAAAGAAAGTTCCAGTGATTCTCAGTTTAATCTTTATTTTCCGCACATGTTTACCACCATGGGCAATAATTTTGACATATTTCACCTGTACTTACAAAGGATCTGAAAACATCTTAAGATAATATTAAAAACATTTTCAAGATGAACCTTGAAAAAAGGTTTGAGATACATGACTATATAACACAAATTCAAAGTACAACCATCACACTCAACAAAGTCGTGTGATGAGACATACATGAATTAATGTCTTACCAAAGCTGTTTTATGAACTTTTGAACACTCGGCCAATACAGTAAAAAGGCAGCTCCAGTTACTTTTACTTTCAAAAAGGTTTACAAATACACTTGACTGAATAATTCCAAAAGTGTTGTACAAAAATACTTGTTTTGCATTAAGCACTTACTGTTGGAATTCAGCAGCTGCCTAATTACTTCTAGCATAGTTGACGGTGGGTTTTCTGTTCTTTTCTAAGTGCAGGGAGATGTGTCAGACTGTGTTGACTGCAGAGGCAATGGGTGGGCATGCCTTTAATTAGCCAAAATATGAAAGGCCTATATTAAATAGTGCACCAATCAAAAAATTTGGCCTTTGAAAACTATGTTTGCATTAGTCTTGTGGTAAAGGAGGTCACCGGAAATGTCTAACGTTATATAGCAGAATGCCCTAATTTTGAATGATGGCTGACTTGAAGGGTGTAGAAATGGGAGGAGAATAACATGGAGCTACTAGTACATGAAGCATTTAATGTAATGAACTGAAGACACACTTACTGATGCATATACATCATGATATGATCATGAATACATTTTCCCTGTTTTCAGGGAACAAATACAATTCTAAGCACATGATGTTCAATAGATACTCATGTTGCATCATTATTGATCCCCTAATAACATTCAAAAAGGATTCATGGTTGAAACAAAATGATGCAACTTAAAGACATTTCACATTTTTAAACAATAAATGAAACTAAATGAGTTCAATAAAACATAATTAATATTTCATGAGGTCATATATTCTGCTTCATAAATCTGTATAACTGTATTCTCCCACATTAAAGTAGGGTGACCAGATCAGCAGATATCTAACATGTTAACATGCTAACATGCCAGTAATACTTAGAGACAGAATTTAAATGCATTACATATTACATTTATTTAAATTAAGTACATTTATTTAAAAATATAAAAGGAATCTCAGCAAAATGAGTAAAAAAGCATCACAATAAAGTTATCACATAGTTTTAACAATGTCTTACTGATGGCTCCCCCGTCTGAGGCTCTATCCTCAGACCATACCCTGGCAAGCTGATTGTTGATGTAATCCAGTTTTGTATGATTCAAAAGGGCTAATCATAAATAATAAGAAATCATTTTACTTTGAACACCAAAACATTTTTGTAATGGTTAAAAAGAAAATTTATATATTTTGTGTGAATGGTGTGATATACAAAAAAAAATCATACAGATCTCCTGACTAATCTACCTTCTCAGCTTTGCTCTTGCTGACAATGTCTACCGCACCATGATCAGTGAGACCAACAACCATTTTATCCTCATCTCTGGAGAGAGTGGCACAGGCAAAACAGAGGCTTCTAAAAAAATCCTGCAGTTCTATGCAGTCAGTTGCCCCAGTACTAAACTGCTGGACAATGTGAGGGATCGTCTCCTTCGCTCCAACCCTGTGCTGGAGGTCAGAACTTTCAGTTTTCCTATATTTTTTTTCAGTTTTTCTGTACTTATCAAAGACTGTATAAATCATGGAATATTCAAGCTACTTTATAGTATGAAACAGATTGATGTGTTAGAAATGATGTAATTAATAGAGTAATACTTAATATACTTCAATTGTAAATCCTGACATTTTGAGCATGACTTCCAATTTTTCATCCTAGGCTTTTGGGAATGCCAAAACGCTAAAAAACGACAACTCCAGTCGCTTTGGAAAGTACATGGACATTCAATTTGATCACCTGGTATAATATTATTTTAAATTATGGTAGTCAGCGCATTGTGATGCATCGATCTGGTGGAGATTCAGTGATATAGATTTTGGAATGTCTATTGTAATGAATTATAATAATATTCAATAAAGTTGTCAATATTTAGCCAAAATAGATATCTCAAGCTATTTCCAAAATTTTCATTTCTTTTATTGTCTATGTTCTGAATTGTGCCAAAAAATCAAGTCAAATTCGTGAAATTTTAGATCCATGATGAGTCATTTCCTCATAATCAAATAGGACTGAAGTGACATATTTACATGCTTATTTAGTAGGCTTGTCCTTTAGGCATAAATAAGGTTTTCCTGCAGGGAGGTGCTGTCGGCGGACACATACTGAGCTATTTACTGGAGAAGTCAAGGGTGGTCCACCAAAACCATGGCGAGAGAAACTTCCATATTTTCTATCAGTTAGTTGAAGGTGGGGATGAGGAGCTTCTTCGCTGGCTTGGTCTAGAGCGAAACTCTCAAAATTATAGGTACCTAGTCCAGGTAGGGAGCAATGCAATATTTTTGATTCATTATGACTGCAGTGTTGAAAGCTTGAAAAAAAGTGAAATGAATGTTCAAAATAGTGTATTGAAATTTAAAACTGTATCACCGATACACCCTTCTGACTTTTCCAAGGGTCTCACATTTGGTGTCTTTTTAGAAGTTTTTGGGGCTTATTTTATTAGGAGGGATGGCGTTGACAAACTAATCTGAGCCAGTTCATTCTCTTTAGTGTATTATTTCTGTAGAATCTACACATTTCTAACACAAACACTTTTGAAAAACAAATCTACACTTCAGAATAAATGAAGCCTTTGGGTTGCTAGATCCTAGAACCATTGAATCCTAGGACCAACACTTTTGATACCTTCTTTCTCTTTCTCAAGGGAGCATGTGCCAAAGTGAGCTCCATCAATGATAAGAGTGACTGGAAAACAATCCAGAAAGCTCTATCAGTTGTTGATTTCAGTGAGAAGGATAAAGAGGTACTTTCTAGCTCTGTCAATGCAATTGTGGGTGACAGACTAAAAGAGTCTACTGGGAAAAACTAATTTGTATTTTCCTCTCTGGCTTCTTGTGCAGAATTTGTTTGCAATCATTGCCAGTGTACTCCATCTGGGAAACGTCCGCTTTGAGGCTTCCCAAGGTTATGCCACACTCAACAGCAGTGAGGAGATACACTGGCTTTCTAAGGTACGATTACACTATATGTCCAAGGTATCCAGACACCCCTTCTAAGTAGTCAATTAAGCTACTTTAAAAGGCTCATGGACTACATTTGTCTTGTATTTTTCTTCCATTTATAATGTTTATGTGGGTTTATATACCAAAAACAGTCAAATTTCATTTTTACATGACCTTTTTCCAACCTCTCTTGATTGCTAATTAAATGCATCATCACAAAAACAATGAAATCAAAATGAGCTGTTTTGCTGCTTAATTTCTGCATGTTTTCATGATGTTGGCCTCTTAAGGTGCAGCCATTGCTGTAGCAGGCGTTCAGTTGCACACACAGAGATTCCCCATACAAAGGCACTGCCAACAGTATGAGACACTCTGCAGCAGCCGCACATAAACCTGAGATCATCATGCTGCTCGCGATTTACCATTTTAAAGAATCTAAACTTACATTAGAAACGCGCTCTGTGATCAAATGAGGGAATTCATCAACAGAGCTGGCTTTCCTTCTCTTCTAGAGGCACGTCAGTGCTGTACAGTCAGCATAACGACAGTTTTAATGACTGACTCTTTACAGACTATAAGCACGAGCTGCTGTTAAAACAATAGACAAGCCATACAATAATAGCAAAGATATGTGTTTGATTTCAACTCATAGATCGCAGGGCGTATATTTGGCCAAGCATCAGCAACCTGAGTGGTTGAAGTCAAACTGATAAACCAGTGACAAAGAAGCAGATACCAAGTAAGATTTACCATTATTGTTGATTGTGACGATGCTAATCCAAAAAACGGGTGAATGGAGTGAGGTTTGACTATTCCAAATGAAGCACAAAAACCCTCAAAACTAGAGACTCTCCAGACCAAACAACTGCTTTTTTTGGAAACCAGTGGAGTAACTTGATGCAGCTCCAAATTACAGTTCACATTTACCTTGTACGTTTCTTTTCTTATCTATTTTTTTCCTTTTTCCCCCTTTTTAACATTATTACAACCATGTGTTTTTTAACAAACCTATTAATGACCAAATCTGATCTTTTTCAGGCCTTAATTCTCAGGTTTCCAGTTTCAGCATTTAAGAAATTAAAAATAAAGTTGTATTTAAAAAAGTTGATTTTAGTGTTCCTGTGGGCCGCTATGCTTTGTAGTTGCACACAGGTGGCCCTTGGGGTGAAAAACGTTGAAAAACCCTGACCTAGAGCACATAAAAAACTGAAGCATAGGGACGCAGGAAGTAGGGGTGCTGAGGCGGCTGCAGCACCCCCTGAATTCAGGACCGCCACTGTTAAAAATAATAGTAATGTGTAAATAGTTTAGTGATGTTAAGTCAAAAACTGACCGTTTTGAGGCGCATCGCTCACGCAGGTTGAAGTTCAAAGAGAGAGGGTCTATTCATAGTTACAGACCAGTTCTGTGTGATGCCATCAGTCAGAGGAAGTGCCCTGTTGACAGCCCTTCACATGGGAAAAAACTGATTGAGTGCCCCCCAGGGTGCCCCATCATGCAGTGAATTATGGTGATGTGCCCTCTACAGCAAGCAATTTCTATAACATGTCTTAAGAAGTGCCCTTTGAGTGTAGAAAATGTGATGCGGTGCCCTATAAGATGTCCTCACAATGATCTAAACTTGATGTTTCCTATGACTGCCCTTCCAATGGAAAAGGGTGTTGTTATGAAGTGTCCTTTATGCTGCCCCTACATGACAGTGTCCCAAAGGGTGCCCCTCTAGTAGATAAAACATGACGCAGTGCTGTAAAGGGTGTCCCTACATGCATGAGAATGTGGGGAAATTTCCTAATAGATGTCTCTCTAGTGGAGGAAATGTGATGTGGTGACACATAGGTGCCGTCACAATGAGATAAACTTGACATTTCCCACAGGTGCCTTTCTGATGAAAAAAAAACTCATGAAGTGCCTTCTTAGATGTCCTTCCAAGTGGCAAACGCGATGACGTGCCCTTGCAATGTAGAAAAAATAATCCCACTGAAGAAAATGAGACACAGTGCCCTACAGTCTCCCCTCAACGTTCCCTCTAGGGCAAGCTTTCCCAAAGTGTGTGCCGTGATGACAGTCTAGGCTTGCTGCTATACTTTGATAAGATTTTGATGTACCTCTCAAACCTGCATACATTTAAAACACATTATATAGTTTCTAAGAAATCTCTTCTGTGTTTTTGCAAGGGGCTGATAAGTTAATTCTAATATCTAGCAAGCATTTTGATGTAGTCTAATCTGCACTGTCCCTGTATTTTTATTTTTTACCCCTTAACCCCTTATGTACCCCTTAACTGAATTTGATAGAAAACAGACAAAATATATTGTTGCCAACAATGACATAGAGTTTAAAAATACTCATTCCTATTGTTAAAAACTTACATTCATTCTATCCATTTAAGTTTTCTGTTTTAGCCACACCCCCTTCTAGAAAGCTCAGATGGGGGCTCAATACAGTGTGAGCTGTAACCCTGACACCCTACTACAGTGTGTTTGGGAGGTAACACAGGAAGCTTTCTTTGAGGCTTTTTAGGGTAATTTGCGCAAAATGCTTACAGGACTTTAAAGTTTTTTTGTGAATTGCTTTTTAACTTAGTTAAGGGTGACTAGTCCTGACTGCCAAGCTCCCAAATCATAGTTATCTCATTGACATTATCATGTCTGCATTTGTGAAACAAAAGTTAATAGTTCCCTCTCTGATTTACATTGGAGGTGTTTGTAAAATAAAAATTTTAAAGGTTTTATATACCTTTGTAATGTGAATTGCTTAATGATGTAATTTTTTAATGATGAATTGCTTAATGATGAATATTTAATCATACAAGATGCATCATAGCTTTTTGCATGCTGGTGTGGCACCATGTCATGCACTAGGTGCCCTTTTTATTTTCTCACCCCTGCCCTTCAAACAGACCAAGGCCTCCGCTAAAGCAACTAAAGCTCCGCAAAAGTTTTACAGTATAAAGCCAGCCTTAAATGATTCAGAAGTTTCGAAGTTTTACTGTATTTTGTGACGTGTTGATTATAGAGTATACAAATCATGTCCTTCAGGCTGAGTGGTTGACCCTTTACATTGGATTTAGGACATCTAAGGACATCTAAGAAGAATTCATGATATTGCCAGACTGGAGCACAACAGTTTTTCTTTTGAACGAGTCCCACCATTATTTTTACACAATTATGGTCACAACAGACTGGTTCATAATGAGATCTTAGCGAGTACAGTAAAGCAGGCTTGTGGTTAGCAATTCAGACTTCTACCGGCTCTGTAATGCAGTAACATACACCTGCAAATAATGGTGCATTTTGTTAAGCCTGATTTGTGAATTCAGATGACATCATTCTCCATGCCAAAATCTACCAATATAATACTTTTGGGATTTATTTTTTAAAACTCATAACTTCAAAGTTGACTGCTCAGATGAATGAAACCAGGTTCCAATTGACCAGGTTGATTTGTGAAAAATTTCACAGTCCTGATTTTGTCTGTCCGTTACATGTGTAGACTGTGAGTAAATAAAGTTAAAGTAGATTTAGACGGAATTTATTTCTAAAAAGCATTTATATTTACTTTGGTAGATTATTTTAGAAATAAATTCCATCAAAATTTATGAAAATCTATTTATTAAGCAGAGCTCAATTTGTGAAGATTTTCACAAATGGGGCTAGATATATTTGACTGCTCCATACAACCCAATCCCACTGGACCGTGACACCTAACTCCATTAAACTTCATATAACTTAATAAGCTGACAAAGAGGCTCAGATCAGCCAAGTTGATCAGAACAGGCCAGTATTTTATTACTGTGCCACTGTTTGGCCAGCTAACCAAAATACCCTGTTTTTACACATGATAATGGAAATAGAGCTGAATAAAAACTCAAATATGACATGTTTGTTTAAGATTTCAGAAATCACGTAATGTCTAAAACAAGTAAATTTGCAAGGTTTTTGCTATAGTTTAGGCATGAAATTAAATTGCGAAGTCAGATAGCCCTATTTCTCACTGTGATGCAAAGACTTACTCATGAATGACTGATAGATAAAAACTATAACATGTTTTATCAGTCTGGCTTATCCTCTATGTCAGCTTTTTAAGTTATATTAGGTTTAATACAGTAAACCATCACGGTCCAGCAGGGTAGAGCTGTATGGAGCAATCAAATATTCCGAGCTCCTTTTGTGAAATTTTTCACAAATCAAGCTCTGCTAAATAGATGTCATTTGTGTCAAAAATAACATGTCAAAGTAAAAAAAAAGGCTAATATTTCACCTACTTTCACTTTTCTCACTCACAGTCTACACAGGCCACAGATGGACAAAATCAGGACTGTGAAACTGAAAGTAAAATCTCATATATTTTTACCTACTAAAAATGGTACAGTTAAATGGCACACTTGCGCAATTAATAAAATAATATAATTGTAGTCAATGTCACTGGATATCATGGCAGTGTAAGCAGGACCACCGCCAGGGATTTTGGGGCCCATGAAAAGATATCACATTGGGCCCTACCACCACAGGCCATGCCAATGTGGTGGCAACAGCACATCTAACTTGGCCACTTAGTTGATAGCCAGCTGGCTATTTTAAACAATAGCTAGAAGCTTCAAAATTACCTAACATTAGCATGATACACCAAAAGCTGTAAAAGCTGTAGTAACCTAAAATCACAAATGCGATACAAGAGTTTGTAAAACTCAATGTGTTTGAATTCTTATCACTGAAATGTTTTTTCATAATAATAAAAAGGTTTTGCCAATTAACACGTTATTCAACACAGTGCTGCTCGCTTCCTTCTTCAGTTAGGGGTAGGGATGATTCATTGATAGCGCTGTTGAGCCTAAAGGTTCATCTGGCACCGGGCAGCTCACACAAACCTCTCTTTGTGAAAAATTAGGTGGCATTCTATTCCTTTCTTTTCCAGATTTTTCATAGAGCAGCTGAGACATTACGCTCCACCAGTACCCCTCACTTGCAGTTCACTGGTACCAAGTACCGTTTGTGCCTGGTTTAAACCAAACCATTTCATGTAAATCTAGGGGGCAGGGGGGAAAAATTGACATAATGTCCTAATAGTTTTTAGGGCCCCTTTCATTCACAGGCCCTTGAAATCATCTTAACACCCCCAACACCCCCCATATGGTACTCCCTGAGTGTGAGATTGTGCAAGGATGTGTAAATGGTTGTATTGCACTGTTTGTGATCCAGAACTAATTATCCAACACCAGTGCCTGACCTCACTTATGTTATCAAATCCTCAGTTTTGTCAAAACATCAGCAAGTAGTGTAAACCCTTCCCAGAAGAACAGAGGCTGTTAAAGTACTAATTACTGAATGAGCTGGCATCTACAAATTTTGGGCATGCCAAAAGTGTGCTTTGTATACTTTGTCCAAAAATAATTCAAAGATATGAATAATGATGGATGATAATGTGTGGGGAGCATAGTAGCGAGAATGCATATTTATGTTTTTTTCTTCTTACCTCTATTCTACACAGTTGTTAGGGATTCCCACCCATGTGTTACGGGAGGGTTTAACTCACAGAAAGATTGAAGCCAAAGCAGAGGAGGTATGATCAGTTTCAGCATCTCATTTTATTTAATTTACAATTCCGTAAAAAAAGTGCTACGCCAACTTATAAGTAGCACAGTGTGGATGCACAAAAACATTTTTTGCCTTAGAATGAAATTACAAGATACTTAGTTTCTGAGAACATTAAAGAAGTCCTAACATTTAGCTAGTCTGTAGTTCAACAATTATAAATAATTTAAAGGAGACTTCCACAATATTGGAAAAAACACATTTTCTTTTTTCTTTTGAAAGCTCATGCGATGTACAGTTTTAAGATATCAGCTTGTCATCACCCCTATGCAAGAATGAGGTGTGTTAGAGCAGAATCTACAGTCAGATCCATAAATATTTTAAAGTCAAAAGTTATTATTTTAGCTGCATACCGAAACATATTGAAGTTAAAAATAAATAATTTCAGCTTTAAATTGAGGTTATTTACAACCCCATTTCCAAAAAAGTTGGGACGCTGTGCAGAATGCAAATAAAAATAGTGTGCAATGATATGCAAATCATGTAAACCATGTTTTTAAAGGAAAAAATACAAAGATAACATATCAAATATTGACACTGAGAAATTTTATTGGTTTTGGAAAAATATATGCCCATTTTGAATTTGATGCCAACAACACGTTCCAACAAAGTTCGGACGTGGGCATGTTTACCACTGTGTTTCATCACCTCTTCTTTTAACAACACTCTGTAAGCGTTTGGGAACTGATGAGGACCAGTTGCTGTAGTTTTGAAAGAGAAACGTTTCCCATTCTTGCTTAACATAGGATTTCAGCAGCTCAACAATTTGTCATATTTTTAATTTTATAATGTGCCAAATGTCATAATGTGTTTTTAGTGGGTGACAGATCTGGACTGCAGGCAGGCCTGTTTAGCACCCAGACTCTTCTAATATGAAGCAATGCTGTTGTAATACATGCAGAATGTGGTTTGACATTGTCTTGCTGAAATAAGAAAGGCCTTCCCTGAAAAAGACATTATCTGGATGGCAGCTTATCTTGCCAAAACATGTATATCTTTTGAACTGTGCACTGATAACAAGCTGGGTGGTCTTTAGCCCGAAGGACACAGCGTCCATGATTTCCAAAAAGAATTTCAAATGTTGATTCGTCAGACCGCAGGACACTTTTCCGCTTCCCCTCAGTCTATTTTAAATGAGCTCAGGCCCAGAGAAGGTGGCAGCATTCCTGAATCCTGTTTATATATGCTTTCTTCTTTGCGTTTAAGTTTTAACTTGCATTTGTGGATGCAGCGCCGCACTGTTTAAACAGACAGTGTTTTTCAGAAGTTTTTCTGAGCCCATGCAGTGATGTCCACTACAGAATCATGTCTGTTTTTAATGCAGTGCCGCCTGAAGGCCCAAAGAACACGGCCAGCAAATACTGGTTTTTGGCCTTGTCCCTTGCATACAGAGTTTTCTCCATATTCTCTGAATCTTTTAATGTTATTATGTACCATAGATGATGAAAAGCAAATGTTCTTTGCTATTTTATGTTGAGAAACGTTATCCTTGAATTGTTGCACTATTTGATCGTGCAGGCGTTCACAGAGTGGTGAACCCCTCCCCATCTTTACTTCTGAAAGACTCAGTCTCTCTCGGATGCTCATTTTATACCCAATCATATTATTGACCTGTTGCCAATTAACTACCAGGTGTTTTTTAAGCATTACATAACTTTACCAGCCTTTTGTTGCCCCCGTCCCAACTTTTTTGGAACGTATTGCTGGCATCAAATTCAAAATGCGCATATATTTTTCAAAAAACAATACAATTTCTCAGTTTCAACATTGATATGTTGTCTTTGAAGCATTATCAATGAAATATAGGGTTTAAATGATTTGCAAATCATTACATTTTGTTTTTATTTACAGTTTTCAGTGTTGTAGATAGAACAAGTAAAACAAGAAAACAAGATTCATTACTTATAAAAATGGTATTTTAACCTACATCATGTAACTTGTGACCCAATTCTGTGTGGACTGGATATTCAGTACATTTCAATGGTCCAACTTTTATGTAGTACCATTAAAAGGACATTTTAGTTTATGTGGGAAATGATTTCAAAATGGTTCAGCCTGTCTCATTTCTGCCACTCGGTGGAGCTATAGGTCCAGGTTTAAAATATTAATTTAAGGTTATAATTTCATGATTATATATAGTAAAAATAATGGGTTTGGGCTGTACAGTCTTATTAAGGCAAACCAAGATGATTAATGATCCTTTGTAGTAGATATGAGTTTTAGTAGTTTTACTTTCTTATTCCAGAGAGTTTTCAGATTGCTCTATCCACAGGAAGTAATGTGCATTCATGAGGCCCTTGCAAAGCTCAGCTCAGGGATAACCCCCCACCAGATATGGATAGATGTAAAGTAGTTGTAAAGTACATTTTTGTGTTGCTATAATCCCAGTTTTAGTCCATCCATTAGCTCTGGAGGTGTGGGTTACAAATAAACCAGTCCTTTAGAATTAACCCAGGTGCTGTATTCACTGTAATGTTAATGTGTCCAATTAATTCTGAACCCCTGAAAATGGTTGTAATTCCTACATCATTCACCCATTTTGGATGTAAATATTCTGAAAGTAAACCTGAAGGCCTGCACTTTAGTCATTATTTAATTTTAATTTCAATATGCTGTAGTAGACAGGTAAAATAACAGTACCTTTGTTGACATACAAATATTTATGCATTTGACTGTATGCAATAATTGGGGCCTAAGGACAGAGGTTTTACACTTTAATGGCATATTTTCTGAAGGTGCTTATGTTTTCAATTCTCTCTTAAATTAATTATAATCAGGTCCTAAGTCCCTTCACTGTTGATCATGCAAAATATGCCAGAGATGCACTAGCCAAAGCCATCTATGGACGCACTTTCACATGGCTCATCAACAAGACCAATGAGTCATTATCAAACAAGGCAAGTTTCTCTGATCGATCTTCAATCAACATTAACATAATAAAATTTTCTATATGGAAAGAATCATATAGTGAAAAAAACAAATGCTCTCCAAATTTGTGATTGCAGGACTCAACCAGGAAGACAGTTATTGGCCTCCTTGACATCTATGGATTTGAAGTGTTCGATGTGAACAGGTATTTTTTACCTAAACCGATGCTTCACAGAGTGACAAATTTAATAAATGTAAAATATGTCTCACAGAAAGCTCTGAAAAGAGGGCTAATTGAGTCTGAAAACAGGATAACAGCATAAGAAACATCTTTACATTAGAATCTCAGATCACAGACACAAGGCTAAAGAAATGGTACATCCTTTTTTTTAAATATTATATCCTCTGGTTTTTAAAAGAAATTTGAAAAATCAGATCAGCAAAATAAAATACCTGAAGCACATTACAATTGATGAAGAAATAAATAAATCTAAAGATAAACTTGAAGTTTAAGGGGTTCTGTAGCACAGCCTATGCAACCCTGAGTAAAGCAAGGGCAGTTGAGGCAGGAGTAACCAGGTCAGGAAGGATTTTCTTATTTTTCACAACACAAAGAAGACAAAGACGAAATCAAAAGTCAGCCTCACTTCAGTGGGTTCAAAGTTTCCAGTCCTTTTTTTCTCAAGTTTTTTCCGTTCATCAGTCCTTTATGTTGCTGCTGCTCATCCCTCTCTTCTCTCTCTCTGTTCCCTCTCTGCTCCTTTTTAAAGGTGCCTACGCTGCTTAAGCCTAGCCAGGATCAGCTGGCTCTCATTTAGGCAGTGTGAGCACCTGAACCAAGAGGGAAAGAGAGCTCATTGCTCCACCTCCCTGTCATCGTCCCTGCCCTGTGGTGTGTCCACCAGGATGAGTCATAGGCTGTGTTTGAAATAACATACTGTGTGCTGTATACTGCATACTGCATAAGTATATACTGTATACTGCATACTGCTCTCAGTAGTACACTTTACAGTATCCAGCACATGACAAACACTGTGTCCCATACTACAAGAAAGGGCCAACTAACATCCGGGGCTGAGCCAATTGGACCCTCCCAAGACTCACTGTTGCTAGCTGCTTTTCAATGTGTACATTTAGATTTTAGTTGAGAGATGTGCCTGTGTGAATTTTAAAATACATCCCATACCATGACAGAGGGCAGGACGTTGTATTCTATCTGCTTTCAAAGTTATAAATAAACTTCATAAAAAATCAGCTTTGGGTTCAACTGTGTGGTAAACCTGTGTGGTTTCCAAACACACCACTTTCTACTGTTTGAGAGCCATTTCACTTTCATTGCACTCATAATTTGGTAATTTGGTCTGACAGTATGTATACAATTTAGCTCCACACAGGAATCTAAAAAAAAGGCAATGCTGAGTGGATTGTTTAGCTGAGTTAGTTTTATCCACTTTATGTAGAATGTTAACCTTTAAATAGACAAAGTAAGCAAACTCACTTCAAGACCAGCAGAGAAAGCTGGTGTGGCTTCACTGTGCCACTGAGTGCAGCAGCATTTGGTCAAATTTCTTTCATTTAGCCATTTTAATGTATAGATGAAAGGCTAAATCCAGGGCTATTATAAATTTCCAGGCAGTTATATCAGTGGTTACATACTCCTGGAATCGCTGTGTTGCATTTTGGGATGCAGTATATCACAGAGATAGCTCTGGCAGTATATTGGAAAAATCTGCCATAGCAGTACGTCATCCGTGTATCTTTGGTGTACTGTAGAAATTCATGTTGGTCGTAATGCATACTACTAGAATCAATACACTAGCAGAATGTAGAAGGCTATTTCAAACATAGCCACAGGAGGCGGGCCTTGGGAAGCGGGGCTCGAGACTCTTGTGCCTGTTGTCGTTCTCCCGCTCTTTTTTGCAGCTGTCAATCGCTGCCTTTGTCAGCTTGTGAAACTCTGGCACCACCCTCCCACCCTCTCTCATGGCTGTTGTCAGTGCCTGTGGGTCAGGCAACTGACACAGGTTCATTTGCAAAAGTTTTATATACAAGATTTTTACTTGAACTCTGAAGACATAAGTTTGAACTTCTTAACCATTTTGTTATGTTGTGGCCTGATTTGCAAATTACTTTGTAATGGTTTTCTGTCCATTCAGTTTTGAGCAGTTCTGCATAAATTACTGCAATGAGAAACTCCAACAGCTTTTTATCCAGCTCACCATCAAATCTGAGCAAGAAGAGTACGAGATGGAGGGCATAGAGGTGATTAAATATACCTGAACTTTTAGCAAAACTTTGTCTTCAGGTGACTATGGAGTTTCTTTACTTAACATATTCATTTCTCTGAATTTCTAGTACAATACTATAATTATGAGAAATTCAGCCAGATGCAGTGTTCCATTTTCTTGTCAGAACTTGTGGTGTTTTTTCTGTTTCTGTCTCACTCAAATCGGTTTGGAACAGTGGGAACCAGTGCCATACTTCAACAACAAGATAATTTGTGACATGGTGGAGGAGAAACATAGAGGCATTATTTCAGTGCTGGTGAGAAAGCCAGATGGGCATTGTAAAATTTGCTGTTCAGTGTCTGCATCTATTATACCCCATTATAGCTCAAGGGACATTCTCTGTTTGGATGTCATATGTCTGGTTTGCTATACTTCCACCAATGCAGGATGAAGAGTGCTTGCGTCCAGGCAAAGCCACCGATTTCACATTCCTGGAGAAGCTAGAAGAGAAGTTGGCTGGACATCCACATTTTGTCACGTGAGTCGTCTGAATACAATGTGCTTCTTTCGTTAAATGAATATTTGGTGATTTTTTTTGCTTACTTCAAATGTAGTCAATCAGCCAATATATATTTGGTGTCTGAAGTTTGCTTCTTCAGTTTTTGTGCTGCAGGACTAATAGGGATATGATGATTCAAAGTATTCAAATTTTACACAATATGTTGGTGTCTTGATTTAATACTTTTTTGAAACACACTAAACATTAATCAAATCAAAATTAATCAAATTTAATATGGTGAGAGAAAAACAATCATCGCAGGCTAACAAATACAGCACCAAATTTTAGCATTTTACTTCAAGTTCTACTGACTGAGAGAGAATTGTGTATACAGGTGAGTAGACATGCCATTGCATCTATAAACCAAAGCACTAGCCTTGAACTAATATGTTAGCCTGAGCGAGCACGCTACCCACAAGCTAATAGTGTTTGCAAAACCTGGAAAAGGGGTCCTGCAGCCATTTTGTTGACATTCTGTCAACATAATGTCTATGAGCAGTCAATGCCATTTATGGCTTCCAAAGCAAGATATCAAGAAGAAGTCTGTTCATGCTGAGGTGTTGATCCATACCAAATCAACAAGTTATCTTTGAGTTCCAATTATGCTTTATTGCCTGTGATAATGAATCCAGACATCTATAATTACCCTGTGAACACTGCATCAGCATGCAACAAATCACTACAATCATATAATTAACATTATGCAGTCTGTAGAAGGATCAGCAATATTCTGTCTTTTGTACTATCAACTACAACTGTCAAACATACTGTTTTACATGTCTATGTTTGATGGGGTTATTTAGTGTTAACTGGACATTAGCTTGAGCTAAAGTGAACTCTCTAATGTTCTAGCATTAACTGCATTCATTGTCTAATGTCAAATGTTAATCATGAGCCATTTTCAACACTTGAAATAATAAATCAAATCAAAACTACAGAATTTATCCATCACCTCACTGTCTACTTGTGACCGACTGACGAGAGCAAACTTTGGTTTTTTTCCCATTTATTCTTGCTATCCAAAGATTTATCCTTCACTTCAGCTCTCCGTTCACTTTTCCCTGAAGCCAGGCATACACTGTGCGATTTTAGAAATCTTGTTCTTTGGTGACAGTTCACACTGTACGTTTGAATCGCCCCTTGTGTATGGCCAAAGCCTGCGATTTATATGCTCACACTGTGCGAAAACACCCCGTCCAACTGATATGACGCAACATGAGTGCACACACTGCACGTGAAACACAGTCCCTACAGACAGCTCTGTCTACAATAAATCTGTTTCATTCAAAACACTGTGCCTTCAATGTCCTGATCAAAACACTGGCTGAATTTCAGATTGCTCCATGCTCTCTACATAGTGCACCACATATTAAAATAGTTGCTCCTGCACCCATAAAGTCCACAAGATGTCTAATAAATAACCTTCTGAGATTCAGCCATGTGTGCACAGTTCCATACTGGACAAACAGTGCACTATTTTGGTGTAGAAGCCAGGTTCAGCCATTAACAAACCGCTACAACAGCTTTGCTTTGGCTAGCAGGAGTTATGCACGCAAACTTTACTTTCACCTGCTACTACAAATTATGTATAAACCAGAGTAAAACATGAAGATTGATGTGTCTATCCACAACAATCCCTTAAACCATCTTCAAACTCACAACAGTAAAGGCACTCTTACCAACCGGGAACACAAAACTACTCTTGGTAGCAGTTAGAGCAGACTATACATTTCGTATCATGTCTTGCAACGTGGTTACATTTTTAAAGTTGATTCTCATGTGATCATGAAACCATATACTTTTTAACCAAAGTTCACATTGGAAGTGATATAAGTGATAACTGTAGCTGAAGTACCAGAGTGTAATAAACACTGGAGAGCAACTTGTAAAATAAAAATGAATTTACCTATTTCAGGTAACTTCAGGTAAAAAACAACAATTTTGTTAAAAGAGCACTTCCTAGCTGCCAAAGCAGTGTTAGCTCAGTTATTGCAGACAGTCTTCCTCAGTTCGGGTTTCCTGTTTCTGTTGTGTGTCCACAGAAATACTTGAGTTTTAGTCTGGATATGATGCAGGTTCAAAAGTACACAGTTCAAAAGTTTCCTGTGTTTCTTGTGTTTTTCTGGCTTAAATTGTTTTGAACGCACACAGATATTCTCAGAACAAATTACATGTTTTGTCATTAAGTCAAGTTCAGGTCATTTATAGCAGCTGCAACTTTTGAACCCCTCACAAAAAGCCTAGGCTTATTACATACTAAGGCTTATTATTCAGTAACTACAGGGATGTGCAAAGTGGCTGAACTATTCTTAGGTTATATGAGTGTGTAATAAAACTTTGAGCCCACGCTATCCATTTAAGGGGTTAACTGTTACCTCTTTCACAGTATTTAAGTTGTGTGCTTTTCTACATGCACACGTTGTCATATTGACTGACAGAGTGAAAACATTCATTAATTACACAGAAAACATGAATCCTTACTTAAGTCGCAATGCTAACTGAATTGCGATAGATTACAGGTCGTGGCCATGCCCTTGTCATGACGTAATAGTCACACCCCCATGGACTGAAGCAAAATCTTAAGGGGAGGAGTCAAGCTACATAGGTTCTTGAAAAAAAATCTTTACAAGGTTGGAAATTTATTCAAGACTATTTGGAAGTGTGACTGGTGCTGTTTGACTGGTCAAAATCTGAAACATGTTTTTAAACAAGCCTAGAAAAGCCTGGACTGCCATCAGCTGCATAGCATTTGTCACACAAGTGTCTATTATACACAATATATAGTCATGTGCTTAAGTTTGAGCACCTATAGTCAAATTACCTGTTGATAGTGAAAATAACACATCCTCTACTGAGAACAAACTTAAATATGGCATTTTTCTGCAAGTTTTGGCATACAATTTGTATTTATTTACTGACTTTGACATATTGGAAAGAAAATGAAACTTAAAAAATGTGCCATGGCTTTTAAATTCAGCAAATAAACAGTATTTGTACAATTAATGTGCAGAAGTTTGTGTAAAAACACCAGTTATCACCTCTATTCCCAGCTGTGCATACACATATATCAGTTATGTAAGTTTGTTAGCCTGCTGCAGACAAATGCCCTTCTTTGCAGGCACTGCTGTTTCACTTGAAAACACATAACATTAAGGATGAAAAATGTGTTCTGCTTTCCAATTAATGTTGACTTTGAACATTAAACATGAGGAAGTACTGGGAAAGCATGTGTTTTTAATGGAAAAATGTGACCTTTTCACTGGAGAAGCTGAAATTTTACACAAATACCTATCCATATAATCATAATATATCCATATAATCATAATAAGATAACATTTAAAAAAATACATTTTTGAGTTTACATCTCATTGGATGAAACTTGAAGAAAGTATTCAAAGTCTCATGCTATAGCCACTAGACAATTGATAATATTCAGTTGACCTCACAATCGCACTGCCACCATTTTGGTAGGCAAAATCAAGTTCATTCAGCAGTGCTGTGGCAGTTTGTAATGAGATAACAAAGCCATAACTGATCCAGCAATGGCAGTAAAATGCATTTTTTTTGTTTGTTTGTTTTTATTAACACTTTTTAAATCACATTTTTAAAGTGTACACTGTAAAACCTGATAAGGTAAGTTAACTCAAATGGTTTGAGGACTCGGATTGCCTTAAACGGTTTAAGTTAAATAACTAATAATAAATAATTTGACCGTAAATAATTCCTGAACTGAGTATGAACAAAACAATTGTTAATTGTTGTTAACGCTGACGTAAATTGAGTAAACTGTACTAACTCTGATTATTTTGTTGATCTTTAAATGATGGTAAACTACATTATCAATTTCTTATGTACCTCTCTTACAGTACTCTATCTTGCAAAAAGCTGTCAACTTATCTCAAAATACAGAATAAGTTCCTGTAGCATGTAGTCACCACAGGCTTACACTCTGCAAGTGAGAACTCGGTAACTCATCTCCCTCAGTACTGACTTACAGTTAAAACTCAGTAAGAAGAATTGCCAAAGTATGTTTTACCTACAGATGGTAGGGTGGAAAGACACACCCAATATGCAAATCTGCCCAATATGCAAATATATTTCCTCCAAGAGCCAACAGGAATTAAGCGGGTTTTACTCAAGAAGGTTGCACTGACTACACATTTATCAAGTAAAACTGAGAAGTCTAAACTAAATTGCAATAAGTTGATTTAACTTAAAAGCTCTGAATCATCCAAATAAAGTTATTTATGATAAAACATTTACACTCCAACAGCCGCTGAATCAACTTTCAATCAATGTTTTGACTAAAAACATTAGAAGATATTCCACTTGTGCTGAGGCGTCCAGCTACTCCTGATTATCAAGGCTATTTCATATGCTTGACAACCATCACTTTTAAAGTAGGTGATTCTAAACAGGCTAAACCTAGGACTGATACACGGAGTAAATAGTCTGTCACTCATTACATGTGTGCATATATAGTTAGAAGAGGTGAAAACAACGCAGGCACAAAAACATTTTCAACAATCTTTAAAACAGCCCCTTACTGGGAGGTCTGTACTTGCGTGTGAAGTCAACTTTAATAAAAAAAGTGAATATAATACATTTAAATAAAAGTACCTTAGCTTAAAATATGCTAAAAAGATCTTACTCAACATGACGAAGTTACTATCTCAACAATTCATTTTTGAGTTAGTTTGAATTTTTCAAATTAAGTTACCTCAACTTTTTGTAGTATTTAAGTTGTGTTAACTTAATTCTTTCTGTAAGATGTGCAGTTACGTTTTACAGTGTATTGCCCCAATTTCATTTGATTTGTTGTTGTAGAATGCTAAAATCTAAAGGGCTGAGATTTGCTTGTGCTATTATCCCAGCATCCCAAACCATACTAGTCCACTTCATACTGTGCAAAAAATAGCACATATACGGTTAGAAGTGCACTCATTAGTGTAGTAGGTAAAGTACAGAAGTGTGTATGGTTTGGGATGCATGGTGTATAAGCTACCTGGATAATCTTTGCCTCTCTAAAAGGACTCTGCCAGTGACCTCTGTGTCTGTGCCCGGGGTCTAGGTCTGTCTGAGAGATTTCCTTCCTCCTCTCTTCGTTTCTTTTGCAGCTCAGAGTTCTATTTTTTGTGATTAATCGGGGCAACTTTCAATATTCGTTCTACATTTAAGGCACCTCAGTGTAATTGCAACATCATTTAAATGAGAAGCTGGTGAATACGAAGCTGACTTCAGCTTTATATGTATGAGTTTATTAGTTAAGAGCTTTGGCAGCTTTGGTAGCCACTTTTATTAGTTTAGTAAAATCTTACACACTGGAATTTTCTGAACCTTGGGGAAATGCAGGTTATATGGATCCAGTCCACCGCTAATCTTCTCCTTGTATAGTTGGTACAGGAGACTACGTCTAAAGCATCCACATATCTTTTTTTCTTTTTCGTGGTCATTCTGTTCTATTTTGCTTGATTTTTATTCCCTTACAGGGTTGTAGCTGCAGTAACAGCTTTGAGATGAGCTCCATTAGAGCACAGTCATAGCTGCAGCTTGCCTACCAACATGGTGATGTGGTCTTCTTAATGACGCAGTTGAATACTGTGAATATAATCAGTGCTATAGAATTTTCGTTTCCCTTCCTCACATAAGGGTATCATCCTGAACGAAAATTCAATATTTTTTTCATCTGCAGGCACAAGCTGGCTGACCAAAAGACACGTAAGAACCTGGACCGAGGGGACTTCCGCCTGCTCCACTACGCTGGAGAGGTGACCTATAGTGTGACCGGTAAGAGAAAAACTGCTGCTTCTTTCTTTTCCTTTGTCATTACCTGTATATCATCAGACGATAAACAGGTAGAGACAAATGAAAAGAAAAAAGCAGCAGACAGACATAAAACTGAAATACACTGAATCATTTTTTAGGTTCTATCTACATGAATCACGATGTAAATTAAAATGTGCCAAACTAGGTAGTAATGAATATTTTTTCACATATTATGCAACGTTTCATTGAATTTTGGAAGCAGGCTATTTAATTGAACATAATATACTGTGCTCATTTATCTTAGACACATCTACAATTTTCTTAAAAGTTTTTATAGGTATTATGTTAAATATTTGCACAGGACTAGCAAACCAGAATTGTTTCATACATTTATCTGCAACCAAATTAGTTTTATATTATTGAAAATGTCAATTTTGAACTTTAGAATGTTAAGTGTGATATTCCTTGAGCTTCTTTAACAACTTTCTTTTCTCAGGATTTCTTGACAAGAATAATGATTTCCTGTACAGGAACATCAAAGATGTGAGTGCCCAAGCTATATCGTTTCCAGTGTTAATAAGCAGTTCATCTGGCAACGATTCATATCTTAGGCTATTTGCTGTTCCAAAACTGTGCATTTTCATTTATCATCTGAAACCTCAATGCATAATTTGGACTGGAACGCTCCTGATGTGTCTTATTCAGGTTATGCGGCAGTCTCAAAATCCCATAATACAGCAGTGTTTCCCCACCACAGAGCCGGACAGCAAGAAAAGGCCTGAAACGGTAAAAAAATAAGACAAAAAATTAAAATTGATAGACTGTACAAGTTTTGTCAGATTGATTTTAATCAAGCTGGCCAAACCCCCTTACAAAACAGTTACTTTGAGCCTACAGAGAGTACACTGCCTGTCATAAGTTTGGGGATATAAAGCTTTTTGAAATAATTTTAATAACTGTTTTTTTTTTTGTCAGTTTGTCTGTAACATATAAAAAGTTGTTTTAGATTTCAGAGTTGAACTATCCATTAGCAGGGTAACTTCTTAACAAAAGGCCAACAGACAGAGTCAAAAACAGATTCAAAGTAGGTATCAACCCAAAACGTCATTATCAAGAAAGAGATGCAAAAAAAACACAGTCAAAAAAAAACAGAGTAGGCAAGGCATGCCAAAAGGTCAAAACTAGGAGCAAGTATAGCCGTTTGGGAGGAAAACACAAGGACAAGGATAAACATGTTACAGGACGGCGGGGAGGCAGACCCAAGTGCAGAAATGGAAAACAGAGAGAAAGAGGGATAAATGAGTTTATCGGGGCACTGGACTGTGAGTTTGAAACACACGGATGAGGTGACCCAAAGCCAGGCTCGAACCTGTGGGGTTTCTGCTGTGCCACTAAGGAGCACAGGCGACTACAGGCAAAACACCTCAAGGAAAGGGGAAAAAAGAGGCGGGAAAACGGCGAACGGCAGACTTTTCTTTTCTTTTCTTTTCTTTTTTAACACTAAGTACCGTACCGGTCACCCCTCTACAAAGGTGTGACAAACGCCACTGTTTGCCACGGCCTTAAGTAGAGGAGTCCACAGGTGTGTTGCATTGGGCCTAATTAGGGCCCAATTCTGGAATTGGAGTTCCCTGAAGTTATGGCCCCGTGCCACCGTCACCCTCTGCTAGCAGCTGGCGGCGCAGGCTGGACACCATGCCGCCATCACCCTCTGCTGGCAGCAGAAGGGGCCGGCTGGACACCCTGCCACCGTTGCCCTCTGCTGGCAGCAGACAGGGCCAGCTGAACCCTTACAGGACCCCCCCTTTTAGGGACGGCCCCAAAAGTCCCCAGGCCAGCAGCGTGTGCCCATCCAGGATACGGCATGCTGGAACCCAAGCCCGTTCCTCAGGCCCGTAGCCCTCCCAGTCTACCAAGTACTGGATGCCACCCCGCACATGGCGGGAGTCCAGGAGGCGGCAGACCGTGTAAGCTGGGGAGCCAGCAACAAGTCGCGGTGCTGGGGGCCGAGTCCCACAAAGGAACGGCCTAAGGCGCGACACGTGAAATGCAGGGTGGATCCGCATGGAGGGCGGAAGTCGTAGCCAGTAGGTGACCGGGTTGATACGCCAGTCGATCTTAAAGGGCCCCACATATCTAGGCGCCAGCTTTTTAGGCTCCACATGGAGTGGAAAATCCTTGGCTGAGAGCCAGAACCGCTGGCCTGGCCGGAAGGTGGGTACCGGGCGCCTCTTGCGGTCTGCCACCTGCTTTCTGGCCTCGGGGGTGGCCAGGAGGGAAGCACGGGCCTTCCGTCATGCGCTCTGGCAATGCTGCACAAACTGCTCTGCAGCAGGAACCCCAACCTCGCGCTCCTCTTTGGTGAACATGGGCGGAGAAAACCCAAACTGGCTTTCAAAGGGTGACATGCCCAGGGACGAATGCCGGAGAGTGTTATGGGCATATTCCACCCAGGGTACATGCTCCACCCAAGACGAGGGGTTGGCGGAGGTCAAGCACCGCAAAGTCCGGGCAAGGTCTTGATTGATCTTCTCAGTTTGGCCATTGGACTCTGGGTGGAAGCCAGAGGAGAGGCAGAAGGCCTTCCAAAAATGGCTAGTGAACTGGGGACCCCAGTCAGACACCAGATCACTAGGCATCCTGTGACCCTGACTACATGCTGTAACAGGAGCTCCACTGTCTCCTTGGCAGATGGAAGCTTGGGCAGTGCCACAAACTGTCATGCCCTGGAGAAGCGGTCCACGAGGACCAGGATGACCGTGATGCCTTTGGAGGGGGGTGGGCCTGTGACAAAGTCCAGGGAGACGTGAGACCATGGATGCACAGGGATGGGCAGTGGGTGGAGGAGACCTTGGGGCCGTGACTGGGGAGTCTTGCAGCATGCACACGTTTCGCAAGATGCAATAAAGTCTCCAGCTCCCAACGGAGTGGGGCCAAGATCCAAGGAGTGGGAATAATGGGTTCCGGGGAAGGGTCAGGCCCGGAGGTGCCCACTGTCTGGACAGAGCATCAGGCTTGGTGTTCTTAGAGCCTGGCCTATAAGACAGCAGGAAATCAAAGCGGCTAAAAAACAGCGCCCATCGGGCTTGGTGAGGGTTGAGCCACTTTGCCTGTTGGATATAGGCCAGGTTCTTGTGATCGGTCCAGACCACAAAGGGATGTTTAGACCCCTCAAGCCAGTGCCTCCATTCCTCCAGGGCGAGCCTCACAGCCAGAAGCTCCCTGTCCCCGACATCATAGTTGCGTTCAGCTGGGGTAAGACGATGGGAGAAGAATGCACATGGGTGGAGCTTCTTGGCTGGACCTAGGCGTTGGGAGAGTATGGCCCCCATGCCCACTTCTGAAGCGTCTACCTCGACGAAAAACGGTTCCTGGGCAGCTGGAGGACCGGGGGAGATGTTAATTGAGCTTTCATCTCCTCAAAAGCCTTTTGGGCTTCGATGGTCCAACGAAAGGGCCCTGGAGTCTTCCGGGTAAGGGCGGTGAGGGGTGCCGCCATGGAACTGAAGTTCCTCACAAAGCGTCAGAAGAAGTTGGCAAACCCCAGGAAACGTTGGACCAACCGGAGGGAGGTAGGACGGGGCCAGTCCACCACAGCTCTAAACTTGGCCAGGTCCATGCAGAGGGTGCCCTTGGACACCACAAAGCCCAAAAAGGACACCGTAGAGACATGGAACACCGACTTCTTCAGCTTAACGTATAGGCTGTTCTCCAGCAATAGTTGCAGAATCCTCCTGACATGCCCAACATATTCCTCGAGGGACCAGCTGTAAATGAGTATGTTGTCGAGGTAGAGTATGTCGTTGAGGTCCCAGTAGTCTCTGGGGACCCCTGAAAGGTCCGGCATAGAGGGACCCTTGAGGGAGGGCGTCCCTCCGATGGGGCCAGGGTCGACCAGGCAATGACCGTTAGACCGGGGGTCCCACGCATATATGGACTGTGTCGATCAGTCAATGCGAGGGTTGTGCTGCCTCAACCTAGGGAACCCCAACACTAGTTGCAAGTGGAGGGCTTGGGTGAGGTACAGCACAGTGCTCTCACTGTGGGGGCCCACTCGCAAGGTTACTGGCCCAGTGCAATGAATGACGGGCCCAGACCCCAGAGACTGGCCGTCAATGGCCATAACCAGTAGAGGACACTCCAGGGGCTCAATGGGTAGGCCCAGCTCAGCAGCCAACGTGGCATCAAGAAAGCTTTCTGCTGCTCCTGAGTCAATGAAGGCCTGCAAGGTGGTGTGTTGACCGGGCCCCCATGAAAGTTTTACTTCCAAGAAGAGCCCTAAAGTGGGGGAAAAGGATGACTGGCCCCTGACCGGAGCAGGCCTGTGCGTTTCCTGATGGGCGACTGGTGTTGCCAGGGGGTCTGGCCTCGAATGACTGAGCCCCAGAACCGCAATCAGGCAGCCCAGCACTACCCAGTTGCATGGGCTCGGGCAGGTCCCCACTAGGTGGTGGCCCGGCTGGAGAGGGGCACCAGGGGCGATGGGAGGCAGGAGCGCGGTCCAAGTCTCTTTGATGCATGCGGGTATTCAGACGGATGCATACGTCGTAGAGACCCTCTAACGTGGAGGGCAGCTCCCGGGTGGCTAGTTCATCCTTGAGCCTCCTGTTAAGTCCCTGATGGAAGACGGCAATTAGCGCCTCCGAATGGGCTCCTTGGGAGAGGGCCAGGAGGCGGGGCGCCGCCTCCCTACCCCCGATGGGTTTATGAAAGGTTGCCTGCATGGCCTTGACAAAACTCTCTCCCGATGCAGTGTCAGGAGAGTTTTGCTCCCACAGCGATGTGGCCCAAGCCAAAGCCCTACCAGTCAATAGGGAGATCATGTAAGCCACTTTGGGCCTCTCTGTGGGGAACCGGGAGGGTTGCTGCTCAAACACCAGAGAACACTGCAAGAGAAACCCTCTACAGGTCTCTGGGTCCCCAGCATATCTTTCTGGATTGGCCACCAGAGGGTAAGGGTTGAACCCTTACAAAAAAATGCTTCGTAGTGAGCTGAGAACAGATAAGGCCTTTTGCAGGGATCTTGACTAGGTACAGGTGAGTGTGATTAAGCTGTGATCATGGCAACAGTTAAAACTCAGGGGACGAGAATCTCTGGTGGCAAACTTGGCCATGACTTGTGACACTACTATTTTTCTTTGAGGAAATGTAAAAACTGAAGAAATAATTACCTGAAACATGGAGTAATGCCAAAGCAATGTAAAACATACGTCTGAAAAGGCAAGGTATTTCCAGACCTTTGACAGGCAATGTAACTGTGTACTGTTTAGAAAAAAAGAAACTAATTCAGTTGAGAACAATGAATTTGTGGAACTAAATAGGTGGCCACCCAATTTAAAAGCAGCCTGGCTGGCCTGACAGAAATCCTAATGTCCAAGGAGCCATGGTATGTGCGCTGCCTGAAACCTAATGAGGGCAAGCATCCAGGTGAGCCTTTCACCTTATACCCACAAGACAGCACTGAGGTGTGCTGAATGTTTTACAAAGTGAAGAGGTTGACCCCTATCTCACTCACGCCTTTTATCCACACTGCAGGCCACTTTGATGATGTGTTGGTGAGGCACCAGGTCAAATACCTGGGGCTGATGGAGCACCTGAGGGTGAGGCGTTCTGGCTTCGCTTATCGCAGGAAATATGAGCTCTTCCTCAAAAGGTGCAGTTTGAACAGCAACATGTGCTGCAGGAGAGAAATTGAAACAATAAAGAAATTGTTTGGTGAAAAAATCAGATTTACACAACTTTATAACACAATTGTAGTGATTAGCCAAATCATTTTTAATGTTGAAGATTACATCTTTAGTTTTACACTGAAGCTGCACAGCCAGTGTAGCTAAAGAAAGGTTATACCCTTCCAATTAGCATTTTACAAACTGCATGCCATTTCATAGACTTGCCTATGTGATTGCTAACACTGTATGTCAGAATTATCTACATAAATGGACAAATGTACAGACAAAATTTAGGCTTTAAACTGCTAGCTAGTAATGTTTTTAGCTACAGTTATAAGCCAAACTTTGGGCACTAATTTTGTTGATTGTTGAAGTGAAAAGAAGAACCTCTGCAGCAAACTATTGTAAAAAAGGGCAAATGTTAATGCACATTTACTTATATTTGATTAATTTAAAAATAGAAAAAATAGTAGTTGTGGCCTGTGCAAATGTTTGGACACCCTACAAAGTAGGGCAGAACATTTCTACTTCTGCAATATTCTTGAGGCATCTTACTTGCAGAGCATGTTAAAATCTATCCACAGATTTTCAGTGATGGTAAAGTCAGGGGATTATGAGGGAAATTTCAAAAGCTTCTGCCTGTGTTTCTTGAAGTAGTTCATGGCAGAGCTAAGCTTGGATCATTGCCTTGTTGTTGAAGCCAGCCTCTTTTTCAGCTTCAGTTTCTTGATTGACTGTTTCAAATTTGCTTCCAGAATTTGCTCATATTTAGTAGACCCTACCCTTGCAATTTCTGCCCTTCCTCTGTCACTGGCTGCCACACAGTCTATAAGCATAATAGATACACCCCATCCTTAACAGTTGGCAAGATGTTCTTTTCATCAAATGCTGCTTTTTCCAGACCTTTGGTAATTGTGGCCATAGAGGTTTATTTTTCTTCATCAGTTTCTGAAATGTCCCTGGCTTATCTAGATTGTTTTCCGTACTTCAGATGTTAACTTCTGTGATGGGGTCGCAGGTAAAGTTTTCTTCTGATGACTCTTCCATGTAGATCATGTTTGTACAAGCAGTGCTGCTCCGTAGAACAATGCATCACCACTTCTGTATAAGCTAAACCTTTTTGCAGGTCCTTTTTCCCGTTTTTATTGCCTTTTATTTATTTACTTATTTATTTATTTTTAAGTTAATCAAACATAAAGTAACGGTGTTTACTACTTTTCACTTCAAAAATCAATCAAAAATTTATTTTGGCTTGGGGTGGGGGTGCCCACATTTTCATTCAACTGTAAGTGGCAAAGATCGACCTGCTGAAAATGAAAAACAGCAGCTCTTAAAATGTAAGATAATATCTAAACTGACTACATGAACATTTTTACACTTCCTGGTGGTTTGTACAGATATAAGCCTCTGTGTCCAGACACTTGGCCCAATTGGAAAGGAACAGCAGCTGAAGGCGTGGAACGGCTTGTAAAACATCTGGGCTACAAATCGGACGAGTACAAGATGGGCAGGTACTGTACCATCCTACATATGGGTGACAAAGAAAAGAGTTGAGAAACACAATGAATGCAGTTGATTCCAGACAAGTGTAATATATCTGATAGAATTAATCAGTTAATGTCTACCATACTCTGTGGCATATATAATAATGTTGAGCTTGCCTAGTTAACCATTATTTTTTATCAAGAAAAAGATCTAAGTGACTTTAAAAGAGGGGTCATTATTGGGGCATGGATGGCAGTAACGTCAGCCACAAAGATTATTGGTCCAGTAGGTAACAGTGATTAAAGTGACATCTGCATTTAGATCTGTGGGAAAACATCAGTAAGTAGGGTTGCTTGTGAATTAGTGCAATTCATAAATAAAAACAGAACAGCAAAGGTTTCTAAAGTGACTGAGAATGTGCGCAATGTGTTCAGACTAAGCAAGAATATTCTGTTAACTTTCATAGAAACGTTGCAGTGCATAAACCCCTTATTACAAAAACAAATACACATTTGAGAGTTGAGTGGTAAAAAAAAAACATAGACGCCAGTCTAGAGAGATGTGAAAAAAGTGCATGGGCAGAGGAGTCATCCTGTACCATAGTCTTGAAGAGTGCATATGTACTGTACACCAAGAGAACGCTGCAGGCCTGAATGCTGGACCCCTACATTGTTGGGGGGCCGGATTTTGCTGGCATGACTGGGTCCACTTGTCCCAGTGAACCAGTACAAAGTTATTCAGACCGATCACCTTTATCCTACGATGCAACATTTTTTATCCAGATAGGCAAGGTCTTTTCCATGATAAATGTCCCAGTCCTGAGGGCACTAAAAGTCACTGAATAGATTTTAGTGAATATAAATATTATGTAAATCATATGCTATGACCTTCACCAGATCTCAATCCAACTGAACATCAATAGAAGATTTTGGACCCATGTGTTAGACAGCATTCTCCAGCACGCTTTATGTTGGTTTGTCCTTTGTCACCCATCTATACATCTGAGCTGGCTGCCTCTGATTGCTGCCTTCTTCTTATTTATCAAGGACCAAAATCTTTATTCGGCATCCCCGGACACTGTTTGCCACTGAAGATGCCTTTGACATCTGTAGACATGAACTGGGTAAGTTTTCTATATCATATTGATTTGATTTAGCTGCTTTTAACTCAATTTCTAAAATTCGGTAGTACACAAAATGAGCTACTCTGTTAGAAACCCCTACCATGTAGCTCCACCTTGCTGATGTACAGAGCCGCATGATAAAACCACAGCAACACCGCTGTGTCTCACACACTCATACAAGCACTACACACACATTACCATGCCACTACTGTGTCCATGTCAATACTGTTTTCAAAATGGTCTGTGCAAATAAGTCAGTGGCCCTGCTTTTAGGTCAATAATGAGTGGCATAAAGGGAGGCTGACAAATTGTCCTTAATAACAAATGAATTAGTTTCAGATAATAATACTGTATAAAAGAACCAGAACCACAATCTAGCAAGTAACCCAGGGATTAAAGTCGCATGCAACGACTGAATCTTTTGTGGTAAACACATCCCTGCCACATCCCCGCCTAAGCAAATTGACTTTTTTTACTGAACAACTTTATTTCTAAACACCAGAGAGTGACACATCTTGTGAGGAGGAAATCTTTAAAAGGTCAATTGTAATTCTCATGCATGCTGACCATTTTTTTTTATTGAATATTCCATAGTTTACCATAGCTTCACTCACCATGGTAGTCTACTGTATGTTTTTCTGACACTATTTACAAAATTGCTTAGTTAGTACCCAATGTTATTAGTTGGACTTCACCATAGTTTATTACAGTATAACAGTTACCGTGGTCAAAATACACAAACCTCGAACTGTCTCCCGTTTTTATTTCTCAGATATAAGCATTGGATATTTTAATGATATATTGAACACCAAATTGGAAATGTCCCCAGATTTAATTTCTGAAATCTGGTTACCTTATTTTAAATATGGAAGGGGAGCACTGTGAGGTTGCTTTTCTTTTATAGCTGAATCATTTTGAATATTTCAAACAAATTTCTTTCTTTTTATCTTCAGCATAATTGTATTTAATGTTAATGCTAATAGCCAGTAATGCTGCTTGTCTTCACAGAGGTTACACATTAATCTTGAAAGCCACTGGGATAGTCCACATCAGATGAATTTTATCAATCAACTGATAATATAATTATATTCTGTCATCTGGATTACAACAACAGCAGGGCATTGAGGATATACCTACCCTGTATAGTAATTTCCCCTGCAGCCTCTAGCTAACTTTGAAAGTATAGGGGACACAGCTGGTTATTAGAAGCTAGGGCTATGATCTTCATTTTTTTGTTACAGCTACAAGAATCCAAGCAAAATATAAAGGCTACAGAATGAAAGGAGACTACCTGAGACAGAAAGAGGCAGGTAATAAACCTGAAATGCATATTATTTCTTTAGGCTAATACAGCTTAGCTTTAAGCTAATATAGCACAGTTACAAAGGAAACACTCACATTCAGCATCGGTCTCTCATGTCCCATTCTGTCTGCCTTTCTGTATTCAGCTACCAAGTTTGAAGCTTGTTGGCGAGGTCTGCAAGCAAGAAAGGAGCGAGAGAGGAGGGCCTGGGCTGTCAAAGTTATCAAGAAGTAGGAAACTAAACTAGCCAAATGCATAAGCTACAGCAAAACATTTATACCCTCAATTGTAGAAGAACAAGAAAGATCTACAAACTAAGCAAGTCATTTTTAAATAGCTCTATAAAATTAAGATTAGTTACATATTAAAGGGCCATTATATATAATTAGAGCTCTTGTGGTTAAAAAAGTGAAGTAGCCTACAGTAGACCACTGAAGTCTTGCCTATATTAGAAACTTTGCATCTAAGCTGGAATTCTCCATGGCAAAAATGAATGAACCCAATACCTTTTCTCCTACATACATTTTTTCTTTGAATGTCACTGGATCCTCTGACCTATGAGATTATTAGGAAGTTAAAATAAGAATTTTGCTACATCTGATCTGGTAGCCTCACCAAAATAGCCCAAACAAACCAGCAAGCTTTATCAGTTGTGGTAGTTAAGTTGATTTGGCAGTTGAAGGGTAAATTTGGAGTAGCTGTTTTTGTTATTATATAATAGTGTTTAAGTTTAATAGTAGACTTAATTTCATGCAGCAGTATTTCAATGTACAGGAGTGGAAGGTTGCTATTAGCAAGGATATAGCAATGTTTAGATTTCAACTCCTTAATGATGTAATTTGGATTTAGGATTAATGTAATTAGGATTCAATGACTTTCAGTGGAAAAATACATGCAGGCCAAACATAATAGGTTTGGAACTTTTTTGTGTACCACAGTGCATGATGGCGGTGATTTTTGAAAATCCTATTCATTTCTGTCATAAAGAAATCCAGCTTAAACCCAGAATTCTGAATATGGATACTAACTACAGAGTGATGCATGACTTTAGAGATCTACAACATTGAAACTGTTTTTCCACTCCTTGGCCTCACTTCGCATCCCTACTAATAAACACAAACCAAGTCCGCTAGCCTATTGAAAAGGTAGGCTGAAAAGGTATTAGCTAAAATTGTGATGGCACTCGAACAAGACTTCACCCTGCAACGCTAGTACTGAGAGGCAAACACATTACCCACCACCACTGGCCTTAAGAAGCATTTGTTAAAAATACTCTAAACATTCATATTGATTTCCCAATATTATTATTAATATATAGAATGCATTTTGCAGGCAATTCGATATGACTCAGGATACTCTTCACAGTATTTTAAGCCAGCAGAAAGAAAAGTCATAACTTATAGTAATTTTTACTGGTAAACTGGAAACTCTGTGTGAAAAGGTTTTGTGGTTTTAGCCTTAATCAGATGGGATTTACATGGGGTCCTGGGGTACTTTTGTCTCTTACATGTGATGCTCAGTGATTTTATTTCTGTTTGGGTTGACCACGTCTATGTTTTTCTCCCTCCTCCCCTGAGAAAATTACAAGCTGAATTACCAGCTGTTTCACTTGTTACACACAGTGATGGTCTGATAATTTTAGTCCCACTCAGATACACATCTTTATGATTTTTGAGCCAGATGTCATCTCATATTGGGAACCGCTGCTAATTACCATAGTTAGTAATCCAACATGTGAATCCATGTTAAATACTTCTTGAATTGCAAAATGATGAATGCTTTGGAAGAGTCTCTCAATTGTATTTTTTTTTATATGTGTGGTAGAACTTTATCTCTATCCTCTTTACACTAGGTGAACATTAACAGGAGGATAAAGAAATAAAAATAAGAAAAAGTTAGAAAAATAAGATCCTGCAGGCTGATTAAAGAGGTGATTGTAGTGGAAGCCTCTTCTTACTTTATTTTTACAATAATATCATCTTTTAGTTTTATATGATCATATGAAGCAAATGTTGGGGTTCACAAAAATACCACCCACTAATTAACTTGCTTGTCCAGTGGTAATTATATCTGGGGATATGATTAGCCAAAATTGCTTAATGGATATTATCACTAGTACAAATTGTGAAGTAGATTTCTGGAATTAGAATTTGTACTCATAAAAGCATAAAAAATTATATATATCTTGAATTTGACTACTAATGAAAATTGAGTGATGGTTTGTATTTCTTGTGGCATTTTAGGCTAAAAAGGCTTGCCATTGTTTCTGAAGTATAGCCTTGTTGGCTAAAGCTTATTTTGGCCAACTGGAGTTAGTTAGTTAGTTAGCTTGCCAGCATCCAGTTGTTATTACACATAAATTACACTCAGGGAGAGTGATCAGATCCAAATAAATGGAACCAAGGTTTGAGGAAATTAGAAAGCACACCAACACTCTTCTCATCAATTAAACAGTGTCTTTGATGCTTCTGCATTCCAAATACACTGCATGCTAACATGAATTACCTATGTAGGCCTAAGTAAACATATGGGTGGGTGGATCCTGCTGCTATGTGATTTCCCATTAACTGTATGGGCTGTATGCTGATATTGAGTGTGTTCAACAGACACTTTGTTTCATGCACACACTGTAGAATAAAGTAAAACAGCTACAGTATATGTGGTTTGAAAATATTTACGTAGAATTTGAAACTCTGAGCTGCAGTGCTGTTCCCTCCCAACTTTTACTACCAGAACAGGGTTCTGGTCCACTTCTACCACTGCTTACATGAAGTCCTACATATTCTAAACACAGTAAACTCAGTTAGCTAACATCATTTTATACAAAGACTGTGACAGCTCCAGTGTGAATAAATTCAGGCAGCCTTCTGGACAAGGTGTAACTAACCAGGAAGCTTGTGTCCACAATTATTTTATTTGCCAGTATTACAAATAGCTGCAGCTGTTGTCCTCATTAAATAAGATGACAAAAAGGGCTCTCGTGAGTGCTTTAGCTAAATATAAAAAGCAAAAAACAGTCATGGCCAAGAATATTGGCAGTTTTTCTTCCAAATAACTCACAATAAACCCAGAAACAGCTTTACACAATTCTTTATTCCACTAATAATGTTACTTAGTATAGCCATTCAAATAAAAAAAAAAGATATGGACAAAACTGTTGACACCCTCAACTTAATATTTGGTAGCACACCCTTTGAAAAGATTAACTAATATCATGTCCAGAGGGGTTAGCTACAGTGCCACAGGCTGCAAATATCTTGATGACTTTGCTTACAGTGGACACAAGAACATTAAGATCTTGCAGCCTTGGTTGACATCCAGTTTCATCTTACAATTTCTAAGGGGTGCCAGCAATATTGTCCAATCTATTTTCTAAGACATGTCTAAAAGTTCTGTGTGAAAAAAAAATCAGATTTGTCATTTTTGTGTTGTGTCAGTGCAAACAGGTAAGGAAAAGGAAAGTCACATGTAAATAACAAAATATTTTAATTTCACCAATTTGCTGGAAGAACTGGGTCATTATCTGAAAAAACTGCAAGGGTGCTAATATTTCTGGCCATAAGTCTAGCTAGCTACAGTGGTGGTGATCTGATTGGGCCCATCAGACCTATGCTAGCTCATTTGTATCTTTGGCCCACACAAAATAACTGGTCAAGTTTACAATATTAAAATTTTCTGAATAAATAAACCAAAATGCAAATAAAAATGTACTCACCAAAAATGGCATATTTGAAATTCCATTTTTGATACTGACCAATCAAAATCCCAGTTTAACCAATAACTAATCATTTATTAAGCAAATGGCAATCCTGGTGCTGCTACTGGCTAGCTTGGTAGTTTGCTACAATCAGCTCTGCAGCACTACTACAGTCACTGTACAAACACCACACCACACCAGTGCATAATGACAAAGCAAATGCAATCTTGCAGGAGCTACTATCTGGAAAAGAGATTATTTTCTGACATTTGGTCATATTTTAGCTAACCATATCTAATGAAGTTACCTGGAGTGAGATAGCAAGCTTATTGTGCCTTTGTGTTTTTAACATTATGTAAACAGTTAGTACTGACTGTTGCACTTTTATTTGATTTAATTATAGAGCTGCAACAATCATATTTACATAATCTGTAATTATATTTGTTTTTTTGTTTTTTTTTGCTTCTTTTTGTTGGTTAGTTGTTTACTGCAAAAAGGGCACTATAATTTGAATATGATCATTAATTCCAGTAGATCACACAGTTAGGGGGGAACCTGGCTTCTGTCAATTCCTTCGATCATTTTAAGAAATTGGTTTGTGAGACTACTCAAACTGCAAGACAAGTTTGGTCATCCAACTGCTCAGTTGGAGCTCATTTGGGCAGTTAAACAAGCATTGCTTCCCTTCTCACACTGCACAGTAAACGATGGCTGACGAAGCTGAAATTTTGCCCAGTCATTAAATTCAGTCAGCTGTGGCCACATCAGGCTTAAAAACTGGCTTAAATCTCACAGTCTATGCTTGGCTTTAGGTTTGCACACCACATAGTGTTTTGAATTTTGTCCAACAATTGTCTCATCTGACCACAAAACCTTATTCCACATTTTAACCTGGCTTCTATCATTTCCTTTGATCATATGAAGAAATCATTTTTGTGCTAGACAGAATTTTTGTGCTAGACAGAAAAACTCAGAAAAGCAAGACCCAAAAAATAAATAAATAAATAAATAAATAAATAAATAAACAATGGTAAGCAAAACAGGGGTAGTGTTTCGCTGCAGCACAACAGTCACAAAAGAAAGAAAAGCACCCGGGTTACAACATACGTTCTCCATAGTATCCCAAAAAATGAATTTGATTTGAACATCTTGGTACAGCATAATGTTACAATGAATATATTTTATTTTCACAGATTCATCAAAGGCTTCATGAACAGGAACCAGCCTGTTAGCTTGGATAACTCGGATTATCTGGCCTTCGTTCGGCAAAGCTACCTTACACGACTTAAAGACAATCTGCCCAAATCTGTGCTAGACAAAACCTCCTGGCTAACGCCTCCACCCATCATGCAAGAGGTACAACTTTTATACAATACATTAGGGCTGTCCTTATCTGTTATTAGTACAGTTTTTACAACTACAGTCAATGATATGATTGATTTGATATTGAATTGCCCAAATTGTCCCCTTGAATTCAGCAACAGGCTATTTTTTTGTATCTTAATTATGATTAACATGCATTTTCTTGACTTCTGTCTGAATAAGGGACTGTGGTAATGGGTATTTTTTTTAGGCAACTGCACTCCTGCAAAAGCTGTACACACGACACTTGGTGCGGAAGTATGTGCGTGGGATAACTGCACAGCGGAGAGCCCAGGTACTTGTGCAGTTATCATCTCACAATAAAGTACACTATCGTTCAAAACCGTTATCACTGTTCAAAAGTTACAGATATGTATACAAACTGATTCTAATATGTTCATTCTATTCATTTTCATAAGTAGGTGTGAGAAAGCTGAATAACACTGAGAAATATGTTATACTAAAATTTACATTCAGAATGCCTCAGAAGTATTTGAAATGTATTTAGTCAACAAATTTCGAGGTCAGATGATAAAAAATATTGCAAATATTAATGGTGGCGGAAGGTGGGGGGGGTTGGGTCATGTTTGGGTGTTAACTATATGACAGATTCAAAATATGCGAAGTTTTTTCTGTTTAAGGTTAAATGCTTTTAAAAGCTCACTTGAAAAAATAGATTTGATTTAATACTGAATAATAAAGCTCTTAATGACCAGCTTGCACTTAAATTTACTCTAAATGGGCCAAGGGCTGAAGGCACCTCGCACATACTTCACTGTTGGGATGGTGGTTTTTGAGGAATGGACAGTGTTAAGCCATGCATAGAGTATGAGATTTTAGAAATTTTGTTCTTTGGTAACATTTCACACTGTACGATTGAATCACACATCATGTACGTACAAAGCCTACAATTTCTATGCTCACTCTGTACGAAAACACTCCATGATGTGACATGGATGCTTACATTGCACATAAAACGCAGCCCCAACAGATAGCTCTATTTATGAATAGTTTTCAGTAAAGATGTTTCATTCAAAACATAACGTGCTCAAGTACCGAGCAAGGACACTGGCTGAATCACAAATGGCAAACAGTAAAATAGGCATAAACAGACTTTGGTACTGCTAAGGTTGACCTTTTTACCTTTATTTTGTTAGCATATGTGTTTACCTGTGTTGGGTGGTGGTTGTGATTATATATATATATGTGTGTGTGTGTGTGTGTGTGTGTGTGTGTGAGTGTGTGTGTGTTTTGCATGAGACTTTAAGAAATTGGTTTGTGAGTCATCCGATCGTCCAACTGCTCAATTGGAGCTCATTTGGGCATTTAAACAAGCATTGCTTCCCTTCTCACACTGCATGGTAAACGATGGCTGAAGAAACTGAAATTTTGCTCAATCATCAAACTCAGTCAGCTGTGGCCACATCAGGCTCAAAAACGGGCTACAATTGCAGATGTACTTCCAGATATGTTTTTCTTTAGTAATTCTTCTTTCTAGCTATATAGGCCAATTGTTTGCAGAGCTCTTAATATTGTTGACTGGTGCGCCCCCACTTCAGTCTCAGCCACTGAACTCTTTACCTCCTTCAGAGTGATTACTGGCCTCTCTGTGACTTCCCTCTGAAGGAACAATCTTGTCTAGGCAGTGTCTGAGTGGTACGATGCAGATTCCATTTCCTCGCAATTGATCCAACAGTGCTCACTGGGATATCCAAACACATATATTATTCTGTAGCCTTTTTGTATCTTGTGCATGTCTTTCACGTCATCTTTAATTTCATTCTTAAATGCTCTTTGGTCTTCATCTTCACAGATTTCTTTCAAATTCACAGTCTGACTAGTGATATCTGAATTGAAGGGGGTCTTTTATAAAGAAAAGGAGAACGTTTTACATATATGTACTATTACTGTGTACAAACTTACGTGAAAGGTTAAAGGGAGATAATATTATTCGACATACATATCTTATGTCTTTCTTTCATTAATCGATTTAGCTGAAGAGAAATCAACACTGGATTACTATCAAATCAATCAATCTGGTAATGCTCTGACAACATATTTTCTTAACTAGAACTAGGCTGGTCAAGTGGCTTACGGGCTAAAAGATAGATAACAGGCTAAACAATTCCACCTGATAAGCCACGTTTACATGTAGCCTAATAATCTGTTAATAATCTGACTAATAGCTTAGTCAAATAGAATAGAATATGTCCATGTATATGCCTCAATCGAAATAGACTAATTCAATTAAGGCCATTCAGAATACAATTTCTATCTGATTGAACAAGGTGGGTAATCCTGTAAATAATCCATTAAATAGAGAAATAATAACCATGTAAACGTTTGCATCTGATCACATTCCTAATCAGAACGTGTAAGTGCGTTCTGCGCATGTGTGTTTGCGTCATAGTGAAAGTTTAGAATGTTCAACATGGCGGAGGCAGAAACTGGTCTGCAAAGGAGATGGCGGAGGCACTGACGTCCAGCTTAATTTTCTCAGAACAAGACGTCTTCCTCTCGCCGCTTCTTTAATACATGTGAAGCACATTTTTCTGCCAGAATTTTATAGCAATTAAAAACACAAGCATGCCAGCTGAAAACTCGTCTCACTCTGACTGGGACCTCACTTGATGCTCATTGTTACTGTAACATTTACTTTGTGTTACTCTATGCATACGCGTCATTTTGGATTTGATTACTTGTAGTGTGCATGTATATGGAGATTTTCCATCCGATTGTTGAGTGTGCATATAAACACCTCAGTCTAAGTCTGTAATCAGAATGTATTCAATCGGATTGGCAAAAATCTTTGCATGTAAATATAGCCACTGAAATTAAAGTATTTTCTATATGATTCTCTGTAAAACGGCAATATAAAAGACTAAAGAATATGCCACTTGAATGTCTTAGACACTTCAAATGTCCATGGCATTAAACTCACCACTCCCTAAATAGTGTGCTATGTAAGTTTTGAACTTCTAGCTTCTGTCTAGTATGGACGTGGTTGAATCCCAAATGACTGTTAGCTATATTATGCACTGTTTGGGTGCAGGAGCCAGTATTTTAATTATGACATAATGCACTACGTATGGAGCAGGGAACCATTTAAGATTCAGCCCCACTGTGGGAAGAGGAACATAAAATGCTTTCAGCTTGGTGCTAAATAAGACTGGAAATCGCCAGACGTTCTTATGGAAATTAGCTTTGTCATTGTGGTGGTAATTTGGTGACCAAAAAGGACTTTTACATTAAACAGTGCTGTATGTTTTTATGTATATGTTGATTATTATATGACAAAAAGTTAAAATGTTAATAAAATTATCACAATAAATAGTGATGGGTGTCTGAACTTTCCGTAGCACTTTATAATAAGGGTACATGAACTGGCAGTAATTAAGGCATTTACTAATAAATAACTAATCAGAAAGTAATGAGTCATAAATCAGGAACAAATGAATAAGTCATATATTAACAACCACAAGACTAAATTACTAACGCATGTACTAATGAATGAAGATGAAGGTAATAAAGGCTTTATTCAGTGCCTGAATTTATTAGGAATTCATGTGTTAATTAAGCATACAAAATGAATGTTAGTACACATTAGCGAACTGCCAGAAGCTCTGTTAGTTTCATTCTATTCATGCAATTTATGATTACCTATGTCATACTGCAATGTCATACTGTTACAACAGAAACATTAACTGTTGTATGTTTAATAAACTGCAAACTAGTTTATTTACTGAGAATAGGCATTTGATTTAATTAAAACTGTGAATTATCTTAATATATGCCATAGTTATTCTGAGAAATACCACCTTCAGAAAATGAAAATGTGTTTCCCATTGTACATCTATTATTCTTTTTAAAAATGTGCTATATCTAAATGTTTTATTAATGGAAACACAGCATTTTGCAATGTAACACTTCAACTGTTTCAGCTGGAAATTACTGCTATTTTTCTTCGCCAGTAAATGGCAGTAATTGCGTTAAATGCTATATGTCAAGCGGCCATAGAGACTTGAGTGAATATCTCTAGTACAACGTTTAAGAGCAGCGAATGAAAATAATTGAAATAATAATAAAAAAAAATTAAATATTTCTCTTTTCACCTTTTTGCATTTTTCTTTTAAAGGTGAGTTATGCATATGCATACTTTATTATATACGTAATTTACATTGCAGATATAATATTTACACGTGGTATTGTTGTCTGAGTGTTGTGAGTGCTAGTATGTATGTTCGTGCCTCACCTCTTTTTAAACTAAGGTGTAAAACATGCAGCTGTTATCTGTGGTGAAACAGAACGGATTTGCAGGAACTATTATTTCTAAATTCGTTATAAAGTAGCTTAAATATTTGGTTTGGTGCTTAGTTATTTGCAATAAACCTTTTTTGGATTTAATAGTAAGGTGTTTGTGTTTCTCACGAGCGTCGTGTGATTGTAGTAGTAATATGTGGCGTCAGGTGCGTCTATTCTGTCTGGTTAAAATCACATGTTAATTGTATGCTGCTTGGTTCATTTGTTATTCCTCCTTTGACAGGGACTCTTATTGTGAAGGGCTATGTGTGCTGTGGCAGTGCTTCACAGGGCCTAGTAGTAAACAGACTGAGTCGAGACAGCGAGAGGGCGCGCTAACTGCCGGGCGCTAACCTAGCGCCATGTTCTCCCCTTTCTTTTGTGCTCCGTTCTGAGTTTTTCAGTAAAGCTGAGTCACAGACTCGATCTTCAACTTGTGTGAGTTATTTTGAAAAACTGCTGCAGTATGAATATCTTCGTGACTTTAATTAGCTAGCAGTTCTGTCCGTTTTACAGATGTTTGTGGAACTACAGAACCAGTATGTATTGGGTTCTCTTCATTTTCCGTGTTACAGTGACACATTCACGTGCTCTAGTTCTGTGTATTGTGTAGAAGCCATAAGATGATAATAAAATATGCTTTTTTATTCCTGTGAATTTCGTCAATGTCATGTTTTCATATGAGCCATATTGTAGCTACTTATCCTTCATCACTGTTCTTGAGAGGGCAATAGAATGAGTGTCATTTTGGTAAGTAAAATGATTAACCCCTGCTATTTTATTAGTTCATGAACTCATCATGAAGAATTAGTATATAATCAGTAATAAATTGTGATTCGCTCATCACTTTCAGGGGCACAAACATGAATTAATTATGAAGAATCAGTATTTAATGAGTAATAAAGTGTGATTGGTTCATCACTTTACTTTAGGGGCACAAACATTATGAATTCATCATGAAGAATCAGTAATCACTGCTTTCTTTATAGTGAATTGAGAATTGACACTGCATAGTTTTGTATTTTTCTCACTCTGACACACCTCAACCAGCACAACAGGAGCTTGTAAATCAGCAGTTGAGTTCAATCAGGTGTACTAGATCTGGGAAAGCACAAAAATGTGCATACGATTAAGGATTCTTATGAGCCCAGGAGAAAGACACTCCAATAATTAACTCATTTCTGAGTTCAGTGGTAACTGTAGGTTAAACTGTTCCTTCATGAGGCACTGTGTATCAATACAGGAGTTAAAACATGTCATATTATTAACATGAAAGATGAATTAAAACTATGGCAACTGTCACAAATGAGGACTAGCTGCAAAACAATGTCAGTGTAAGCTTTTAATTTTACTAAACAGTCACTAGGTGGGTAGAAACAGACAAGGTAACATAAGAAATCAAAAACAATAAACTCAAGACCTGACAGATAGAAACAGACAGATACAAGGGCTGCTTACACAACATGATGAAGAAGAAGGACGAGATGATGAGAGGATGGAGCTATAAAAAAAAACAAAAAAAAAAAACAGTTGACTTTGATAGGCATAATATTCCAGAGCACTGTGTCCCAGGGGGATCTTGTGACAACATTAATTAACACACGAATTCCTAATAAATTCAGGCACTGAATAAAGCCTTTATTACCTTCATCTTCATTCATTAGTACATGCGTTAGTAATTTAGTCTTGTGGTTGTTAATATATGACTTATTCATTTGTTCCTGATTTATGACTCATTACTTTCTGATTAGTTATTCATTAGTAAATGCCTTAATTACTGCCAGTTCATGTACCCTTATTATAAAGTGTTACCGAACTTTCTTCTCCTCATTCAGAAGTTTATGTTTTCTTGGCAACAGTACCATACTCTAAAGCAACTACATTTCTTGGTGGAATACTTGTTTATCTTGATTAGTATTAATGATAACTAATGAAAAATTGTGTAGTATCATATTTTTTATTTTTTCTGCCATTTTATGAAAGCAATTAGCTACTTGAGGTTGTGTATTACAGTAATTTACAACCTAAAGTTCAAATACTTCATATAATAAGCAATGTAACATTTTTCAGCTCAAACTATATGAATGAAACAATGCCCTTCTCTGTGACACAAGTGACATGCTGTCTGTACTTAGGCACTTCTTTCATTAGATTTGCACAGTAAAAGTCTCCTATAATACATACCCAGCCATTACCATGTCTTGGGATGTCTTAAGATATGTCTAAAGACACATTATGACGACGTCTTAGGACATCTTGAGGCATGTGTTAAGAAATGAAGACATGTCTATAGACACGGATCTTAAGATGTCTTGGCTATAATAACATCTCAAGATGTCTTAAGATGTAGGATGCATAATATGTATTTTTAAATTTTACCTTTTTTTTTAAATAAATCTTTTACTTTTAAATATTTTTAAGGGAATTTTAAAACGTAACATTATTTATAGCAAAAATTCTAGTAATTATTATTTTTTATTTGTTTTATTCTATGTAGGATGCAAAATGGTATAATTTATTTTAATATATATTGTATATTATTTTATAAACAAACATTACATACATTAGTACATACTACAGTTATAAATTTCAGAACAAATTTAACAACAAAAGTAATAATAATAACAATAATAATAATAATAATAATAATAATAATAATAATAGGCACATGGTTCCCAGTCTGTAGCTTTCTCTACAATGAGCCATTTTATATGAAACTAAATGACTTTGTTTACATTGCAATGACATAATTATGCCAAGTTTGGAAAAATGTGGAATTCCCCTTTAAATGTTTCTGTTGCATTAGAAAAGCTTATAGAATCAGTGAAAATTTATTTGTGAGTTCATACCATGCCTTCAACATGATGGTAGTATGAGGGAAGACTCTTATGCAACTATTTTGTAATACAGCGTTGCTGCAAAATTTAAAATTCTAATTCAGTGCTTTTAAATACCTTTTTATAGTAATTAACCCTTTATGTTTTAAAAAATGTAGTAAAAATGTGTTAAAAATAATTTTTTTTCCGTTACTATTTTACAGTTGCTTCATTTTTTTAATGAAGGTATCATTTTATCAACTTTTAAAATAATAATAATAAGGAGGAGAACAAGAACAATAATACGTACGCATAAATTACAGTAATGTAATTTAAAGGGGTATGGAAAATCACTATTATACAGTTCTGTATTTCCTTGTTAATCTGTTAAATATTCAGAATACTTCTACATTCAAATAATTTACTCTGCAATCCAAAGCATAGCCCATGAAAAAGCACAGACATAGCTTTCAAAAAATATAGATTACAATTATTGTTTCTTTTTACAACTGTGTATATGCATAGTACAATAGCATCATCACACTTTATATGTTCTACAGACAAGGAAAAACATGTTAACTGACTTTGTGTAGAAATTTGAAATATACTGCAATATATATACAGTTCCACAAACCAATGAATCTGATTTTAAGGTCTGCTGTTATTCCGTATATAAGTTATGTTAAAGTTATTAGCAACATAGTACTATGAACAATTATAAATGATAGGAAACAATTTTAAGACAAATTCATATGGACTAAAAAGAAAAACTGACCAACAAAGTAATACAGAGATCTGAACCCCAGCAGCACTCCTAACATACCTGAGCCAGATAATGATCAGCTGTCAAACAATTAATACCAGACTCAGATGTGCTGGTAGCTGGAATAGAGCCAAGCTGTAGACATGTTATGTGGACATATGTGGACACAGGATACAGGACACAGATAACTCGATGTGCATGTCATAATGCCTGAACTCTAACATTACTGATATCACACTGCTAATGCTTTTACCGATCTCTCCTTTTAGAATTAAATCCATGATGAGTGAGAGAACTGTCAGATTCACAGCCCATCACTTCTTCCTCTGTTTTTTTGTGTTAGTCTTCTTTGTCAGAGATATGAGGAAAATGCATCTGTTGAAAAATCAATTTTAAGACAATAAATTTGAAATTACGTTTGGATCTGCATAGACAAGTAGGCTAAATTTAAAGGGAACCTATTATGCTAATTTCCAATGTTCATAATTTTATTCTTGGGGTCTACTATAATATATTTACATGCTTCAGTGTTGCAGAAACACATTATTTTTCTCATACTGTAAATCTCTACTCACCCTCTGTCTGAAATGCTCTGTTAGAGCTCCTGTGTCTTTAAGCCCCTCCTTCCTGATGAGCCCAGTACGCTCTGATTAGTCAGCTTGCTCACTTGGTTCTGACTAATCAAGCGCCAGAGCGGTTCTGCCAATACACGGCCTCCAGCAGATGCGTTGTGTTGTGTGAGGGCATGCCAAGCTCGCTGGTAGGTGGGCAATAAGGATTGTGTTATGGGATTACATCATCTTGTAACAAAGGAAAAGGGCTGGGGAACTCCAGCCCTCAGGCAGCTGTGAAAAGTGGTTTCTGTGGGAGAGAGTTTCTCCCTCTGGCATATACTTTCAGCTTTCTATCTTACATGCACAAAAAGCTACATAGCACAATAAATGAAAGGGAAAGCATTATATATTCCCTTTATAAGTAGAATATAATGTACAGTTTACATACGTTTACTCATCTAAAATCAACTCAGGCATTTAGAACACAAAGAAATGTGACAAGGCTTTAAATAATATCTATGCATGAACTCCAGTGTGGCACTCAGCTCGCACGCATAGCTGATGTTCAGACAATGATGTTCAGTGTAATGAAAGAAGCATCAGGATGAGGCCACTTGGGTAAGAGCACAGTTGAGTGTTGAGAATGATATGGACTGCCACCATACTGGATGAGGCCCAAAGAGAGGATGTTCCTTTGGAAGGATTGAAAACAACAAAGTTGATTAGATAATTCACAATTCTATTGTTTTCATCCTCTAACATGCCTCAGTCAACACGTAACAGAAATGATCATTTGCAGTTGAGGCAGGTGTGAGCTTAGCACTGATATCTGTATCTGTTAAAAGCTGTGTTAAAGGAGAATTCCACAATTTTTAAGCACAATTTCATCATTAAGATGCAAAAAAGTAGTCTGATACGAAATGTTCCATTGTGGAAAAACTTACAGAGTCAGAGTTGTTCACAGTGGCAGTGAGAAGAACCAGACGTTTAAAGAGTTCAATGCCTCTAATCTCTTACGGAGAATTATTACATGAAATGATTATTAATAAGCGCTAAACTCTATTACATCATGTTTACCACATGCTGTATGCTATAAATTGTAGCGCTCTGAGACTTGCAGTATTACACATTAAAGTACCATGAAGAAGTAAATTTATAAATATTGATACAGTGTTGGTGATATTGCCATATTGATATTTTGAACACAGCTGTAATGGCAAATAACAAATTAATAAACTGAATGAACACAGCGCAGATATTTGAGTACTCTAACCCAGCTTTACCTAAACATTCTGCTCTTCTGTATTACAATAAATACTTCATGAAATATATTTGTTTGGAATACCCACCGAATCTAAACATCTGTCTGACATTCATATAGTTTTATTTAAAAAATTAAACCTTGAGTCTCACCAGTTGCTCAGCTTCAGATGATTTCTGATGAGAAACATCTAAAACAAAACAGACACGAGGTAAATCACCGATTTACTAATGTCACCGATCTCTCCTTTCAGAGTTAAATCCGTGATGAGTGAGAGAACTGTCAGATCCACAGCCCATCGCTTCTTCCTCTGTTTTTTCTCAGTGTTGGTCTTCTTTGTCAGAGATATGAGGAAAATGCATCTGTTGAAAAATCAATTTTAAGACAATAAATTTGAAATTACTTTTGGATCTGCATACACAAGCAGGCTGAATTTAAAGGGGACCTGTTATGCTAATTTCCAATGTTCATAAATTTATTTTTGGGGTCGACTATAATACATTTACATGCTTCAGTGTTCCAGAAAAACATTATTTTTGTCATACTGTAATTGTTTACTCACCCTCTGTCTGAAACGCTCTGTTAGAGCTCCAGTGTCTTTAAGCCCCTCCTTCCTGATGAGCCCAGTATGCTCAGATTAGTTAGCTCGCTCACTTGGCTCTGACTGATCAAGCGCCAGAGCGGTTCCGCCAATACTCGGGCTCCGGTAGATGCGTTGCGTTGTGTGAGGGCGTGCCAAGCTCGCTGGTAGGTGGGCAATAAGGATTGTGTTATGGGATTACATCATCTTGTAACAAAGGAAAAGGGCTCAGGCAGCTGAGAAAAGTGGTTTCTGTGGGAGAGAGTTTCTCCCTCTGGCATATACTTTCAGCTTTCTATCTTACATGCACAAAAAGCTACATAACACAGTAAATAAAAGGGAAAGCATTATATATTCCCTTTATAAGTAGAATATAATGTACAGTATACATAATTTTACTCATCTAAAATCAACTCAGGCATTTAGTACACAAAGAAATGTGACAAGGCTTTAAATAATACCTATGCATGAACTCCAGTGTGGCACTCAGCTCACACGTATAGCTGATGTTCAGACAATGATGTTCAGTGTAATGAAAGAAGCATCAGGATGAGGCCACTTGTGTAAGAGCACAGTTGAGTGTTGAAAATGATATGGACTGCCACCATACTGGATGAGGCCCAAAGAGAGAATGTTCCTTGGGAAGGATTGAAAACAACAAAGTTGCTTAGATAATTCACAATTCTATTGTTTTCATCCTCTAACATGCCAAAGTCAACATGCAACAGAAATGATCATTTGCAGTTGAGGCAGGTGTGAGCTTAGTACTGATATCTGTATCTGTTAAAAGCTGTGTTAAAGGAGAATTACATGATTTTTAAGCACAATTTCATCATTAAGATGCAAAAAAATAGTTTGATACAAAATGTTCCACTGTGGAAAAACTTACAGAGTCAGAGTTGTTCATAGTGGCAGTGACAAGAACCAGGCGTTTGAAGAGTTCAATGCCTCTAATCTCTCTCACAGAGAATTATTACATGAAATGATTATTAATAAGAGCTGAACTCTATTAGATCATGTTTACCACATGCTTTATGCTATAAATTGTAGGGCTCTGAGACTTGCAGTATTACACATTAAAGCACTGTGAAGAAGTAAATTCATAAATATTGATACAGTGTTGGTGATATTGCCATATCGATATTTTGAACACAGCTGTAATGGCAAATGACATATTAATAAATTGAATGAACAAAGCGCAGATATTTGAATACTGTAACCCGGCTTTACCTAAACATTCTGCTCTTCTGTATTACCATAAATACTTCATGAATTATATTTGTTTGAAATACCCACCAAATCTAAACATCTGTCTGACATTCTTATAGTTTCATTTAAAAAATTAAAACTTGAGTCTCACCAGTTGCTCAGCTTCAGATGATTTCTGATGAGAAACATCTAAAACAAAACAGACACATGAGGTAAATGCAGCAAAACAACAACAGTAAGGCATAACAATGAAAAACACAAAACAAACTGGTCATTATATATTACTAATAAATGTAGCCGAGTAAAACATAGATTATTAATCTAAAGCACAGATAATACATTTTAAAAATACTCTAGAAAGTACAAATCCACCAAGACGTTATTAGAGTAAATGTAACTGAGCAAATTAAAATTATTACTACCCTCTCTGAACCACACAGACTGACGGACTATGTTCAGTTTCATTGTTGTATTGTTCAGTGCGCTGACCCTGCTGCGCTGTTGATCAGTGCGCTGACCCTGCTGCACTGTGTTCAGTCTTAGGTTTATTTCTGAGGCAGTCTTTCATTTGGAGCGCGTGCTAAGCGAGATCTGACGCAGCCGCGAGGCGTAAACAGACACGCCGCTTAGCCGCTAGCTAGCGAACTACATACGCTAACCTACCGCTGGTGTCTTCACTCGGCAGATCAACCCAGAAATACAGAAACAAAAGTGTACTCCAGCTGACTGTCAGTGAGGCTGCTTATCTCATTTTGTCACTACTCACCTTTTAAAAGCAGACTCTGACCGCTGCAGTCGGGACTCCAGTCGTAAAACCAGTCTCCACTCCACTCGGTCCAGTCAGTAGTTATCGTTAGTCAGCTACGCAGCTGAAAATGCTCGTTTCTGGGAGCTGAAAGCGTCACCCGGCAGGCGGCGCTGTCTTAGTAAGGAGTGTAAGAGACGGTCTTATCAGGTTTAACACTCGCTAAACAAACTCGATAACTAAACTGCCCGCGGTAGCGACCTGAGAGACCCGCTCAATGTAACGGCTGTAACGGCCGCGTTTGGCTTTAAACGGAGAAACGGCGGAGAGCGCTCGCGCTTCAAAACCGAACGTCCAAGCGGCGGAGTCCCGCGCTCTGATTGGTCTAAACTCCCGCCAGTCTTTTGTTTGTCCTCCCATAGATCTTTTTTTTCTGGCTCGCACGGCTCTGCAGTACTGAATGAACTGTGCTGCTTTGTTTTTGTTTGTTTTTGTAATCTAGACACAGAATAGAAAACTGCAAACCCTTGAAATACATAAGACAGCTGTGCAGCATTATCATACAGCATCACTGGAGGCCATGTCTTAATATATTAAAGTCAAAGTATGAAGTTGGACATTTAAACAAAAATCTGTTTATTATGTAATTTTACGTGGTGAAACAATACAGGTCTTTATATATTACTACTCAAATACATTTGCTTATCATTGTTCGTGTTTTCCAAATACTGGAGATAATCATTTTGAAAGTTATACAAATTAAAAGTCTAACTTTGGGCAGCCCTGATCTGCTTAAGAAAATAAACAGAAGTGTAGATGTTGAAGAGAGTGAACCAAGTGCTTTTTTTGCATTAAGTTTTGGTGGTATGAGATCTCTAAAGTACCCATGTTAGCTGTTAAGTACACTTACTTATTAGTTCAAAGTTGTTTTATCTTGGTTCCTAGCTTGTTGTCTCTGGTTACAGTTGTACATTTGAAAATAGATCAATTGTTTTAATCATAGCATGTTTTCTGCAAATGAGCAAAAGACTGTGGCTGACATTTACTTCCTATTAGTTCAAAGTTGTTTTATCTTGGTTCCTAGCTTGTTGTCTCTGGTTACAATTGTGCATTTGAAAATAGATCAATGTTGTGTTAATCATAGCATGTTTTCTGCAAATGAGCAAAAGGCTGTGACTGACTGTGATTGTAACATTTACCAATGGAGATAAATTAAAAGTTATTCAGCCATGGACCTCAATGATATAAGGAAACGAGTTTAAACATTTTAAGGTAAAGTAAATGGTTTAAGAATTGATTTTTTCTTTTGCTCTTTTGCTACTCTAAACACATTTCTGCAATAATCGAAAAACAAAACATACAAAAAAAGAATCACGAAAGTACAGCAAGTAAAAACTTAGTGAATGTTCTTTTAGTAATATCACACAAAAACCATAACATTACAGCAGGCTGTTTCTTGAGGACATACTTGTTATATTCTCATTATATCTTACATTAGAGAGTGCTGTGGTAATCCTGGTAATCCTCAGTTGTAATTTTCAGTTTGGCAGTACCACAGGAATACCACACTCATACCACAGGACTTTTTGTAATGGACCACTTTTTGGTCTCTGTCTCTTTGGTCTCTTAAGACAGTTAAGTGATGTCTTACATCATGCCCCATCTTAAAGACACACAAAATAATTACTACTTTGTCTTAAGACGTTAACTTTCATGTCTCAAGACAAAGACAGTGTCTTCACTCATACATCTTAAGACGTTCTTGAGATGTCTTGGCATAAGAAAATGTCTTAAGAAAAGACATCTTAAGACACAGTGACAGCTGGGTATGTGATGAGTAATGATTCGAGGTTCCCTCTTTCTACTTTTATTGTCTAATCGGCCAGCATTTTCTGCATGTTGTTTGGGCACGTGTCTGGTGGAGTGTAAACAGCAACCATAAATTAGCAAGTGAAAAAAAGTCTATTTTGATTTCAAGTTGATTTAAGAGGAGGGTCTAAGGCAGAGGTGGTGAACTGCCGGGCCGAACCCCTGCAGGGCCAAAATTCTGCACAGTTTGGTGTTTTTCCTACTCAAACACACGGGTCAACTCAGCTATGAGTCAACTCAGCTAAGTTGACTCATAGCTGAGTAGCTAAGTTTAGTGTGTTAGGAGTAGGAAAATTACTAAACTGTGCTTGAACACCAACAGGACCGCAGTTCACGACCCTTAGCCTAAGGTGTCAACTGTCCAGTCAAAGCCTTTGTATATCAGTACACAGAAATAAATTATACAACTCACTTGATCCGTCTCCTCCATTTAAGCATAACGTCAATGTCTGTAATGCAGTTGTTTAAATAACAGTAGATACAGTTGTATGCAAAATTTTGAGCACCCTTGGCTGTATTATATATTTTGTTGATTTTTTGGAATCAACGATATCTGCAGCACGCTATTTTAAAATTGTGGTATGTGCAAAAGTTTGGACACCTAACTAAAGCTCTATTTGTGCTGGATTAGTTTTACCTGAAGAGGTCCGGTAATGTAATGTGTGCATGATTTGACTGGCCAATTCATACAGGATAAGGGTCTTTGTAATTTCCCCAAATTAATCCAAATAGCCCAGATCAAAGCATCATCTCATGGATGTTTACATTAGCATTGTCCGACAGACGCCACACTTCCGAACAATGACAACAAGATGGGCAGCAAAATGATACATAGACTAGCATTAGTAGTAAAGCAGCTTCATTCAGCTTACCAAATGCTGCCCAACAAGACAGAAAATGTATTTCCTTGCAAGAGCTACTTTGCAGTTCTTTGTCCATCTCTTTGTAATTTGGTCATCACCAAAAGTGTTGTGGATTTCAGTAGTCTCTTCATGAATTTGAGGATTAAGGAATTGGGTCAAGTAGAGCTCCATTTTAGCTGTTAGTCTTGTCTTCAGGTCATAAAATAGAAAATAAAGGTAAGCGTTTTCTATGAAGCTGAAGTCTTATTAGCCAGCTTCTTGTTAAAATTTTTCTGTTCCACCCTAAATAATGCATCAGTTACTGCTGCACCATTAAAGGTGTAATGGGAAAACTGAGACGCCAGAATGTAACTGGTTCACCAGTTAAGGTGGAACAGGAAAATTCGAACAATAAGCTGATGACTTCAGCCTTGTCTGTTTTCCATTTCCTAGTTTTATTATTGCATTACAGAAATGTCGATTCAAGTAGAATTGGTATTACTAAGGGAGAGATTGCCAAATTATAGGAGGTAATTCACTCCAGAATCATTACTGAGCAGGCTTGTAAAAATTACGGACATGGCAGATTTGTACTGGATTCAAATCATGGACCTCGTTGATTATCACTCAAATTACAGCACGTCTCCATGTAATATTAATCCTGCTCGAATAGGGCTTAAGTCAGTACTCCCTTTGGCAGATATCACAGCTTGCAAATGCTTTTTGTAGCCAGCCAGGAGTTTTTCTGTTCTTGTTTTAGGAATATTTACCAACTCTTACTTGTAGAACACTTGCAGTTCTACGGTATTCTTGGGCCATCTTGCATGCACAGCATGTTTAAGACAACCCCAAAACATGATAGATCCACACAAATGCTTGACAGTTGGCAAAGTGTTTTTTCATCAAATGCTTATCCTTTTTTCTTCAAACATACCTTTTGTCATTGTGGCCAATTTGTATTTCATTAGATCCCAGCACTTGTTCCCAAAATATCAAGATGTTGTTTTGCATGCTTCTTATATTACCTTTATGATGAGGTCACAAATGAGGTTTCCTTCTGATGACTCTTCCATGCAGATCTTGTTTGTGCAAGTAATGCTTATAGTAGATTGTTGCACCACCACTCCGGTGTCAGCAAAACCTTCCTGTAGGTCCCTTGCTGTCAAATGGGGTGTTGCTTTGCCTTGCCATCCAGCATACGAGCAGTTCTATCTGAGAGTTTTCTTTCAGACCTTGCATTGATCCACAATTCCACAATTCCCCATAACTGCCATTTTTTAATGACATTTCAGTGGAAATTGCAAACTGGAAGTGATTTGATATATTTTTTATAGCCTTCTCTTGCTTTGAGTGTGTATACCTGCACACAATAATCTGATCATAATCAGGGTTTTAAAATATTTGGTTATACGGAGGTACAAATACATACCTTTTTTCTTTAATTGAGGTGCAGAGTTGGACTTAACCTTTGTACCTTTAAGTCTCTCTCTGTAAATCTCTGTAAAAACAAGATTGAGAAAAGCATTTATAAAATGATATTTACACATGGTTATACTGACACTGTAGAGAAATTCCACCTTTGTAAAGGTGACCAAAAGTTGTTTACCAGTTTGATTGGTTAATCTTGGGCAGAAAGATATGGGAGAAATATAACAATTAAATCAAACTTTTCATCAAGGCAAAATTCTTCAAGGACAAAAAACGGAGGTCGCTGTATAAGAACTGATGTGTTTGGAAGTGATAAGATAGTTTGATATGTTGTATTATATTTTGTTTCCAGCTGCAAATCAAAGCACTGGCCAGCAACATATTCAAAGGAAAAAAAGAGAACTATCCCCAGAGTGTGAGGCAACCTTTTGCTGACACCAGGATAGGTACAAACTTACAAATTTAATGCTGACTTGACATCATTTTCATCTTGAAAGTCCTGTTTTATTAATATTGTACTAATTAATGTATTTGTAATTAATATTTACTCTTCACATTCTGTTAAGGTGAACAGGATATGAACATACGTGTGCTGCAGGTGATGTGCCCTGAAGGCATCAAGGTACTGATCCTTCTCCATTACGCTATGAAAAAGAGAATTCAGGAGTTTATCTTCAGGGAAAACTTTACACTAGATGTTGGAGCATTGCTGTAAGGATTTGATTGTTGAATAATTACTGGATCACAAATAGCACTCCAGTTCATCCCAAAGGTACTTGATAACCCCAGAGAAAGCAGTTCCGCTGCTCCACAGCCCAGTGCTGGTGAGCTTTATTTCCCTCTTGCTGGTGCTTGACCCTGGACATTGTGACCAGTGCTTTTCTATGGAGATTATACAAGCTGTTGTGTGCAGCTCTGAGTGCCTTAAAGTGGTGCAATTCACTAATTAGAATGGGTGTTTGTAAACCTTTGGACATATAGTTTATTAGTTTATATATTACTACATAAAGTATAACTTATTGAATCACTGTTGTGGATTTTTCCTAAAAAATAAATAAATAAATAAAAATTATTTGACCTGCTGAACAAACTTCACTTTATGAGCATATAAATTATGTCAAAAATGTTCAGACTAGTGAACTAATATTGAACTAAAAGGTTATTGTCACAGAGAAAAATATTTGTCTTAATTTCTCCTCCATGCAGTACAGTGTTCCAGTGATAAAGTATGACAGGAATGGCTTTCGACCCCGTTTCCGACAGCTAGTTTTCACTCAGATAGCTGCTTACTTGGTGGAGGAGGCTAAAATCAAACAAAGAGTGGATTACAGATCACTGAAAGGTAACCATACTGATTAACAAATTATAACTAGCACTGTTATGTTTTTTCTATGGCGCCAAGTATAATTTCGTATCTGTAAAGACATGGATCACTGTGAACTTGTGCAACGTACTGTAAGATTCACTATTAATCCTATTTCATGAAGGTTTTATCTTTGTTTGGCCCCATCAGTATCAAATAATTTTTATACCAGAATGTTAGTGAAAATTATATGTCCAGTGTGTTATTATTACTTTTACACATACATAGATCAATGTTACATTTATCTCGCAGCCTGCTATCATTAGCATATTGATTGTAATTTTATGCATTGTCGCATTGTCATATTGATGGTAATTTTATAAGTAAACATTGTTTTAACAGCCAGACTTTAGTGCTACAATATCTTGAGAGCCATCAACCTCAATCTTTCAGGTGTATCTGTCAGCAACCTGAGCGACAACTTCCTAATTCTCCATGTCATGTGTGAAGATATTAAGCAAAAAGTAAGCAAACCACTATGTGTTTGGAAAATGATACTTTTTTTAGTCTCATCCAACTATAGAGCAGAAATAGTGCCAGTTTTTGTAAAAGTACATTCTCAACATAAAAAAATGTCACATTGTCTCAATTCAAAGTCCTTTTGGTACCCAAATTTGTTTTAACTAACTTAGCTTTGGTCCCAGTTCAAAAAGTTAAACCTGAGCCAAACATTTGTTCCAATTTACAGTGTTAAAGTTGAACTGAGGTTGATCTTGTTCTGATCTCAGAATGGTCGCTTTTGTCTTTCAGGGTGACCTGGTCCTTCAGTGCAACTACATTTTTGAGGCTTTGACCAAACTGTGTTCAGTGACAAAAAACCACAACCTTGTAAGAGTGGTTCATGGGAGGTGAGCAGTTTTCTCAGAAAATATTGTAACATTTGAAAACCACTCAGAATAACATAAAGCCATCATGGCGAGACTGAGGTAATGGTATTTATTAAGTTTATTTATGCAGTTTTGTACAGTATTGGTAGTGAATTTATGTCTTTATCTTGATCCTGTATATTTTGCAGTGTGAGGTTTGACATCCAGCCTGGCAAAGAGGGGGTGATAGATTTCAAGAGCAGCAGTGAATCCATGGTGTACAGGGCGAAGAATGGACATCTAATGGTGGTGAGCGTGTACTACAAATGCGTTTATACATTGGTCTTTTCTTTCCCTAAGGTTGTTATGCCAAATCCAGAGTCATATTTACAGTATATTCTGCTTTTGAAGAACATACACTCAGGTCCATAAATATTTGGATGTCGAAAACATCGTTGTTATTTTAGCCATTTACCACAGCCTATTGAAGTTGAAATTAAATAATATGGAAGCTAGGAATGATCAAAAAATGTGTTAATTGCTGGACTCAAAAAGAAAAGATTTGTCTAGATGTGGCAAACAATAAAAACAGCTGACAGCAAAAATGGTAAAAAAATAGTAAACTTATATAGTCACTGTAACTGAAGCTTACTACAACAGAAAATAATAGCCATGCAAACAAAACATGTCTTAACAGAAACCTGAATTGTATGGGTGAGAAGGAACCTTCCCAAAGTGTATTTCCTGTGCCAGGCTTAAATAGTCAAAGTCAAGTCAAGTCAAAATTTATTTATATAGCGCCTTTTACAACAGATGTTGTCACAAAGCAGCTTTACAAAGAATCTGATAATAAAAATAAGCCCCACTCCTTCCCACAATCAAAAAATAAAGTAAAATTACAAATGTAACTAGTGTATTTGAAACCAATGAAACTACAAAGCAACAAAAAAATGAGATTTTTGGAAATTAAAGAAGGATAGGGCAGTCAGGGCCCAATATACTAAGCCATTTGCACCAGTTTTAGACCCAATTCAGACGCATTCTGCCCATGTGTTGTGTACAAAACTGGCACACAAGCCTAAACGCACAGTTTCTGTGGCAAGTGCGGCTGATTGCACATTTCCAAAACAGTTGGGATGCTGTGCAAAATGTAAGTAAAAACAAAATGCAATGATGTGCAAATCATTAAACCCTGTATTTTATTGAAAATAGTACAAAGATGTTAGTTCAAATGTTGAAATTGAGAAATTGTATTGTTTTTTGAAAAATATATGCCCGTTTTGAATTTGATGCCAACATACATACATACATACATACATCATCTAAACCGCTTATCCTTCTGGGTCACGGTGGGGTGCTGGAGCCTAACCCAGCTGTCATTGGGCGGAAGGCAGGATATTGATACCAACAACATGTTTTAAAAAAGTTGGAACGGGTCAACAAAAGGCTGGTAATGTTGTGTAATGCTAAAAAAACTGGTAGTTAATTGGCAACAGGTCAGTAACATGACTGAATAAAAAGATCATCCGAGAGAGTCTTTCAGAAGTAAAGATGATGAGAGGTTCACCACTCCGTGAAATACTGCATGAGCAAATAGTGCAACAATTCAAGTATAACATTTCTCAATGTAAATTAACAAAGAATTTTTGCTTTTCATCATCTACAGTACATAATAACATAAAATGATTAATAGAATCTGGAGAAATCTCTGTACACAAGGGACAAGACCAAAAAACAGTATTCGCTGGCCGTGATCTTTGGGCCTTCAGACGGCACTGCATTAAAAACAGACATGATTCTGTAGTAGAAATCACAGCATGGGCTCAAGAACACTTCTGAAAACCACTGTCTATGAAAACAGTTTGTTGCTGCATCCACAAATGCAAGTTAAAACTCTAAAATGCAAAGAAGAAAGCATATATAAACAGGATCCAGGAGCACCACCACCTTTTCTGGGCCTTAGCTCATTTAAAATGGACTGAGGGGAAGTGGGAAAAGTGTCCTGTGGTCCGGTGAATCAGCATTTGAAATTCTTTTTGGAAATCATGGACGCTACATCCTCCGGGCTAAAGACCACCCAGTTTGTTATCAGTTCACAGTTCAAAAGCCAGTATTCATGATGATATAGGGGTGCATTAAAAATTATATTAAAAATTAAATAAAAACATATTTTTCTCTGGCCCACGTATTTGTTGAGATTTTCTAACATGGCCCTTTAACTCGTTGAGTTTGACACCCATGGTTTAGCCCATGCCACCTCACTGAGGGCATGGCTGATCAAGTCGTGGATGAAAATTTCTTGAAAATTGCAAAATTTCTGTACTCCATAAGATTTTATAATAATTAATTTTCAATTAATACCGATTTCAGCTTCTAGTTTAACTACGTAATTAATGCTGATGTCTTAAATGGGCTGAGCTGACTTTCAGTATAAAACAGCAAAAGGAATAATATTTCACTTTCAAGTCATTTAATGCTAATAAATAAACAAAATGTGTTAACTTTATTGAGGGATGTCAACGCATTACATCTATTATTATTGTTATTGTTGTTGTTGTTGTTGTTTTGTTGTTGCTGTTTTTACATTTGCTTATTTATATAAAATGTTTTTATGCAGTATCCCCACAGTTTCATCACACATAAGGTTATTTTTAAGCTACAAAAAGCTTTGAAAAGATCATATATTTTAGCAGTTGTTAATAATCTCTTTCAGTATACAGTTATATACATAAAAAGAAAGAAACACTGGACTCATGACCTGCGAATGCAGAAGCCCTAAAGGACTAAAAAGCCTATTGAAAAATCCTATTAATTAGTTTTCATTTTTAATTATGGGCCTATTGTATGGTTTCAAGCGTCTTTAAATTGCCTATTCAGCTTGTAGTCGCCACAAAACTGCAGTTTTCGCCCTGTGATATGAGTTCATTGTCTGAGGATAAAAACACTGCAAAAGAAAAACATGCCATCTGCACACGGCAAAATTCATGAAACAACTCACAGATGTATTTGTGCAGGGACGTGGAAAAGTGTTTTAAGTTGTGGGTGCTGAAATTTTAAGCATCAGTGTCGTCACCGATGGCTTCACGCAAGATGATTTGCCTTATTTATTTATTTATTTATTTATGTATGTATGTATGTATGTATGTATTAAAATGGTGCTACAATGAGGCCAGAGATAATAATATATAAATACAACCTAACTGACACATCAAATCGCCGACGCACATCATCTTTCTGCTTTCTCATTCTGAACGAACTTTGTGCAAATGAACTGAGCGGGGATTAATCAGATTGTTGATATGTGGAGCGGTAATCTTGTGTCACAGCCACAGGCACGCAGTGGGATTTAACACTGAAACACACACAGGGAAATATAACGGTTGGCTGTAATGCAGTTGTCAGCGCAGGCGTCTATTAGCTGACGTAACAGATCTGGCGGTTGGCGCTTTCCTCCGAGCGCGTTCGGCTGTCCAGTGACGTTGCGTGAGCGGCAGTTCGAAAAGAAGCGGTGGTTGGTTTCACAGGTCTCGGAGGAAGCCTATGTTAGCCTTCACCCTCCTAGCGTTGATAGCATCGTGTGATTGGGGGAGTCCTAACTAGCGGGTGGAATTGGAAACGGGGAGATAACTGGGTAAAAACCCCCCCCCCCCAAAAAAAAAAAAATGAATATAAGACTGCTTTAGGGTTCAGAACTGGCCTGTAACGTTGCATAGACGTTCTCTCTTTGAACCACAACCTACGTATGTTCGAGCGATGTGGCCAGCTTTCGGCTCACTGCAATGAAAATGATGTCCGCTAAATATGAAAATTCAAACTTAACTCTAAAACAAGCACACACGGGTCTCTTCTATGCTCAAACTATTACTGAGTTCAGAACATTTTATCAATACTCATATTTTATCAGTGTCAGTCCTGAAATCAAGAACTCCTTCAGCACCTCCACGCATGTCCCTGAGTGTGTGAAGACGCAGCGCAAAATATGTCGTTGTGACGTGATGTGGCAGCAATGTGCACGCAGCCCAACTTTACACAACCCCGTTTTATTAAGACCGATATCTCATCATCACTGGTATTTCAGTTTCTCTTTTGTCTCTTTTTGTTGACTGCTCCATTACTTCACAGTGCCGTTTAAACTCCTCAGCAGTGTGCGTTTAGTGAGCGAGGCGGCGCCCAAAAAAGCGTGAAACTAAAGCCGATGCCTTTAGTAAATCGAACGTTAAATTCAGGCGCATTGTGGACGCATTTTGTGGTCACATAATGGCACGTTCTGCACTGCGGATGTGCTCGTTCGTATCTGGACCTCTGTGCTGGCCTTACAGACAGGAGATAACGCTCAGATTTTGCCTCAGTACAGTAATAGTACACTGTAAACTTTCTAAACAGCCGCTCATGCAATATTTCTTCTGGAACGAAGGATCTTAGGGAGTGTGTTACTTCTCTGGTGAAAATACCTACTCTTCTTTTCTGAGAAGACTTTACGTATGTTGGAATGTTGCTGTGAGCAATGTGTGCACCTTATAGTAGCTGAAATCACTAATTAAAATGGGTGTTTGTACTTTTAGATCTACAATGCATACAAAGTAATTACCAAAGTATACTTTTTTTCTTTTAGGCATACAGTATATAGAACGTGTAATTGCCAAATTATACTTTTTTTCTTTTTCAAATTGCAGGAATCTGCTGCTAAATCTTGATGACCTCTGCCTACTGGACTATTGACCACAACATAAACCAACTGGATCAGTAGACAGACTAGTACATTTTGAGTCACAAGCATTTTGGATGCATTCTGGAAATCTCTAGATTTCATCTCAGATCCACTGAACATGAAGTATCACATATAGCTTCAAACTTGTACAAATAAACATTAAATTATGAATTGCCCTACAGTACAATTAGCTTTCCATTGTTTAGCAAAACAGTGTTACAGTGTTTTCTATCCATACAGTCCACTAGTCATGGTGAGCTATATATATATATATATATATATATATATATATATATAGCCATTATCATTTCAGCTGTATATATATATAAAAGTTGCTTCATCATCACATTTTTAGGCTGCTTTGAAATGAAAGCACTTAGTAAAGACAGCTAAAAAGGTTGTGAAAAAAAAATGTCCTTGTGGTTAATTAGCTCAATCTCACATTGGAAACATGAGAAAAAATCTGAGCTTTAATTGAATTAAATTTAGTCAAAGACAAACAAAAACCCTCATCAAAAGACTGGTATGTTTTAATATGTAACATATTAAAACTAAACCATGTGACTGTTGGCATTTCTTGGCTTACCTGCATTTACTATGTAGTGCAACCTTCCTTTGTCAGTGTAACAGCAATGAGTCTTCTCCTGTAATGCTTGAATAGTTTGGAGAATACGGAGCAAAGAATTTGAGGCCGCTCCTCAAGTCAGAATATCTCCAGATCCTCCATAATTTTAGTTTTGAGTCTTGATGATGCCAAAATGCTGCTGTCTTCTGCAAATCTCCAGCCGTGATCCTTTGAGAAATTTTTGCCTCCCTAACCATTGTCCATCATGGCATAAGGGCAAAGTACATTTGCGTCCTCTTCCAGGCAGTTTCTCTAAAGCTCTGGTTGTTTTATACTTCGTAATTATTACCCTAACAATGGATATGGGCATTTCAGCTGTTTTTATCACCCTTACCTTATTACCTGGTCACCACATTTTTATCTTATTGAATTTGTGTGTTCTCTCATTTTGTGTCTATCTCTATTTTTGTGTTCTGTCATGTTGATGAATGACTATAGGAATCCTGCACCTGGGAATGTGTCACCTCACATTTAATCCCCATTGAAACAAGTCATAATGGATGAGTTCCTGAATACTGAGGTGGACTTACAAAAAAGGAAAATTTATCTGGGAACATGTTTCATTTACATGTTGAAAAAATGAAGAATTTCTAGGGCTGCCAATAATTGTGATGTGTATTTTTTATATATTTTAGATATGAACACTTCTTATGAATCCTGTATTCATAATGCTCTATGAATGCATTTACAAGGCATTATATGGCATACATCACACCTTATAATACCTAGCATAATGTTGTGTAATTGATCCTAGGTATAATTATATGCATAAAACTTTATAAAGAAAGAGAATATGACTTTATAAAGTAAGGTTCCATAATGGATTATAATATCTGGTTAGTTACCAGTTAGCAAAAAATAAATTGTCAAATTCACACTACATATAAAAGTTATGTTTTTTAGTCTGTGTCACAAAGAGCTGCTTCATTTTAGCTAAGTTATTAACAACTGTTCTGATGGATCTGGGTGTTATAAAATATACCAGGCAATGCATTAGGAAACCTGATGTTTTGAAGTAATTTTCTCTTGCTATACATATATGTATATACACTTAGGAGGAATTATACAAGATTATTCTAAGTAGATTTTTCATATTGTCAATGTAAGATTGAGTTGATTAACCACTAAAACATTTTCCTTAACTTCTTTTAAACTTATCAAAGGCGCCAGTAATTATGAAGCTGACTGTATGATACATGTGGCTATTATATCAGACTGCAATACTACTATTTTATTGCCCCATGAAAGAATTTGCTTGCAGCATTTGTTGCAGTTAAAACATTGAATGATTGTGCCTCTGTGGCAGGGCAAAGTGAGAGGAAATAGCTGAAAGCATAATCTGCAGGCCTCAGTTCAGTAGTCAGAGAGAAGAGAGATACAACATTGTGGATGACTTGGGGTTATATAAAACATTCTGTGTTATTTAAAAAAAAAAAACTGCAACCTGTGACCTTTTCATGAAATTTACATAAATTCAGGTCAATCTGTTGCATCACCCACATTTCCATGCTAACAACCATAAAATCATTCCACAGGCCCATGAAAGCTGCAGGATTGTAGTATTCATTTGATGATTGCAAGGTATATGCTGTACTTATGCAGCAAATAAGGTTTTGTTTTAATGTCACAGTATAAATAGTATACAAACATTAATTCTGGTGTGAAATGCAAATTAAAAACAGAAAGCAGTGATTTGCAATTCTCCTTTGACCTGTTTTTAAACGAAAACGGGAAAAAGCCAAAATGTGTAATGTTTAACTTGATTGACTTCATCATTTTTTGTAAATAAGTGCTGATTCTGAAATTTATGCATGTTCCAAAAAAAAAAAAATCGGGACATTTGGCCAATTTAAGACTAGGAACTTAAAAAAAATATCTTAAATGGGTAATGCATGGGTATGAAAGGAACTTCCAGCATTCAAGAAAACCCTAGTACTTTGTGAGCAAAGGTCAAAGAATGTATCAGCAGATAATCCAACAGTTTAAGAAAAACATTCCTCAAAAAGTGATTGCAAGAGTTTTAGGTGTCTCACCCACTTCAGTGCATAATGCCACCAAAAGATTCAGGCAATCTGAAAAAAATCATAAAAGGCAAGGCTGAAAACTACAGCTAATTGCTTGTTACCTTCAATCACTCAGCTGGCATTAAAAACAGCATGCTTCTATGATCACCACATTGGCTCAGGAACACTTTGACAAACCGTCCTCAATAAACAGTGAAGATGTACAATAAACAGTGAAGTACTAAGCACAGCAAAAGCCGTATATCGACAATGTCCTATGGACTGATGCACAGTGGAAATGTGGTCTGATGAGTCAGCCTTTCAGTTTACAGAAATAATGTTTTCAATTTAACGCAGGTCAAACAGAATTTACTAATTACTGCTTTCTGTTTTATTAGCATTGCACATACTGTCCTAAATAGTCTGGAATTGAGGTTTGTTTTTGTTTTGTTTTGTATTTTACTCTGCTTGTATGTTACTGTAAAACGTCAGTGTCTCTTAAATTCTATTTTACTGTGCTTATACTGTTAAGAATATGTAATTATCTTGGTAAATACAGTCAAGAGTTTGGATACACCTACTTATGGAACAGGTTATCTTTTCTTGTTTTTCTTTTGTTTAAACATTTTTCAAATGTTAGAATAACAACGAAGACAAGAAGATAGTGAAACACTCACCTGGAATTATTCCAGTATGAAATATTGGCCTTCTAGCAAAGAAGGCTATGTAGACCCTGCTACCCATGCTGAAATGCATTTACCTAGGATGACATAGTGATTGTGGTTCCAACTTAGCTCTATTTCTTCAACTCTGAATTTAACTAAATTCAAAATTTAGTTAAATTTAAATTTAAAGTCCTAAATGAAAAGTGCTTTTTTAAAATAAGTTTAACATTTTTGTTTGTTTTGGACATAAATTCATACATATGCATCAATTTGATATTTATATTTGTTTTAGAAAACAAAGTTTTAGGCATATGCTTTTAGATCAAAATGCTTTTACAATTATATGATCAGGTGTGTCCAAACTTGACTGACATCATATGTGTACAAATAGGATAGGATCTGGACCTAAGGGGTTCAGCACCCACTGAGAAGGGGGGATCTACAAAGAATAATAAAAAAAAAGACACTTTGAAATTCCTCACATTTAAATTGTGCTTGTTGGTACATAATTTCTCTTCGTATCAGGATTTATGCAATGTTAGCGGATATGGAAGGTATAAAGACGTATGAATTAATCATGATTCAAGTGTATCAAAGTATAATCAGGAAAAAAAAATGGATGCACTGTAGTCAATGTGGGCAGCACAGGTTCTATTATTTACAACTTACAAGTTTCCTCTTGAAATTTTAGCTGTTTTGTTTTGGTTACCTATTCACTTTCTGAACTGGTGATTGATTGGTCTCTTTTTGTGCTTGCAGTTTTCCTTGATGCCTCCTGGTCTGCACAATCAATTATATTTATCAAGAAAATTTATAATGAAAATATGAAAGGGTGTCACTGACATCTGTAATTACATCTGTAATTATCTACAAATGTGATAATTATGCTATTTTAACATGAATGGTTGTACAGAAATCAGAAACCATTACAGAACCAAAAATCCTGGGGTTGGAGTTGGATCCACATCCAGATCCTCCCATCATGATTCTATTGGACCAGTGGAGCAGTCAAACTTGATCCATTTCTTCCCATGAAAAGTGCTTTTGTTCTGATTGAAAGTATTATATTATTTAGCTGCATGGAGTGGATGACCGCCAGGGCTGCACTTACTGAGTGGATGTTGACCTGCATTTGCAGCTCAGACAGAGAGGTTGTATACCCAGTGAGTCACATATAACCCCTGGATCTGGAACTTCCTGCGCACTCCGAGTGACCAGGAAACCTGGCGGTCATCCACTACTCACATAACCACAGTTACATTCATGACTCTTGTCATGTTTCATATCTCCTGACTGATAGAGCGGTGCTTACTGAGTGGATGACTTTTGCCCACGCCATCATGAGGAGTGCCTCAGATATGCAGCCCATGATGTGGTCAGGTCAGGTCAGATGATGCTGCCATGTTGACATTATAGAATCAAGAAAAAGTGCAGAGCATAGACCATGTGACTGTTGCACAGATCAATAATAGAAACTCCCTTGATGGAGTGTCCAGTAGCAGGTGTGGGCAATAAATGGTTTGCAGCTGTGTAAGCCAGCTCAATCACCTCTATCAGCCAGCGTGAAAGATGCTGCTCTGAAAGTGGAGAGCCCTGTTTAGCTTCACAAAAGCATATAAATAGCTAGTTTGTCTTCCACGCCTTTGCACAGACGTAGCACTTCAGCAATCTGATATGAGCTGTCTCCTGGGGTCTGACTAGGTTGTGTATGCCTACAGGCTAATGGACTAGTTAATAAAACCAAGACTGAGAACTTTTGGCAGGAAAGTCAGGTTTGGCATCAATGTCCAATCACATCATCTAGACCTCCCAGATAACTGGAGAAACCCTGAGCCATAGCTGGAGAAATTCTGGTCGTGGATGCTATACCTGGCCTCCTAGCTGAGAGAGAAGGTCCTTCCATACAGGTAGTTCCCACAGAATGTCCTGTAATAAACACAGAAGTAGAGGAAACCATGGT